TGAAGAACGATTTGGATTTGACTTCAGTACTTTTCAAAGATCCTATCGATTATTATTCGTCGTATCTATCGCATATCTATCTATCTATCTATCTATCTATCGTCGTATCATTCCATAATTCTAGGGATACACGTCCGAGGAAAGAGATCAGGCAACTCAGGACATTCTGAGCTATTACGAGCGAGGTCACGACCCGAGTGACGCAAAGTACTGGGTGGAGAGATATGTTGAGGCGAGGATTGTGAATTCGTGACTAATTGTGACTAAATTATGATTTTAACTTTATTTTAACCATAAAAGGAACAAGTTTTTTCTTTTTTCACAAAGTTTACATTAACTAACAGAACTTTTCTTGAGAACTAAGAGATTAACTAACAGAACTTTTCTTGCAGAGCTATTCGGATTGGGGGATGAATGTGCCGGTGGTCCGGGAAGCCATCGCGAAAACCCAAGCCGGCAGCCCGGTGTACGCCTTTTTGATGGACTACGACAATCCGACCACGTGGCCTGCAGGCGCTCCGGCACCAGGTTTGTCAAAAATTTTCGTAGTTATCAGATACTTTCTTCTCTTATAGGTTGTTCTTGACGTAATTTGATGTTTCATTTCTCCCTGACTGAAAGTTTAGGCTCAACGCATTCTAGCGAGTTCCCGTACACGTTCGGAATGTTGGCCGACTTCAACTATACGCAAGATGATCTGACAGTCGAGAAATACATTCAAGATGCACTCGTGCAGTTCATTAAAACCGGGTAACTCAGGGAATTTTTTTAAGAAATATATGTCGTAGCCGATTATGAATGAAATTTTTTGGTAAATCTTTCTAGTAGAGCAACCCTTTAATGTATGAGGACAATATTATATCATCCTGTAGCGAATTAAATTCTGCGTCGATTGGTACCAAATTTGTGAGTTTAGGTTAAAAATTGCCGGCGCTACAACGTTTCATTCAAAATCGGCGGGACCCCCGTAGCTGATTATGAATTTCAGCCGATTATGAATGAGTGGGTCTAGGAGCGTCCAACTGTCAAGTATTTGGGTCTAGGAGCGTCCAACTATCAAGTATTTGGGTCTAGGAGCGTCCAATTATCAAGTATTTGGGTCTAGTAGCGTCTAGGAGCGTCCAACCATCAAGTATTTGGGTCTAGTAGCGTCTAGGAGCGTCCAACCATCAAGTATTTGGTATCATTCAACGCAGAATCATTAGTAATTATGTTAAATTTTCAAAATTAGAAAGATTTGATAAAAAGAAAAAAAATTATGGGACCTCAAAGTTTCCTCATGAACAAACAGTTTTTTTGCTCTAATTTTTTTTCTTTTTATCCAATCTGTCTAATTTTAAAAATTTAACATAATTATTAATGATTCTGCGTTGAATGACACCAAATACTTGATGGTTGGACGCTCCTAGACGCTACTAGACCCAAATACTTGATGGTTGAACGCTCCTAGACGCTACTAGACCCAAATACTTGATGGTTGGACGCTCCTAGACGCTACTAGACCCAAATACTTGATGGTTGGACGCTCCTAGACGCTACTAGACCCAAATACTTGATGGTTGGACGCTCCTAGACGCTACTAGACCCAAATACTTGATGGTTGGACGCTCCTAGACGCTACTAGACCCAAATACTTGATGGTTGGACGCTCCTAGACGCTACTAGACCCAAATACTTGATGGTTGGACGCTCCTAGACGCTACTAGACCCAAATACTTGATGGTTGGACGCTCCTAGACGCTACTAGACCCAAATACTTGATGGTTGGACGCTCCTAGACGCTACTAGACCCAAATACTTGATGGTTGGACGCTCCTAGACGCTACTAGACCCAAATACTTGATGGTTGGACGCTCCTAGACCCACTCATTCATAATCAGCTACGGGGGTCCCGCCGATTTTGAATGAAACGTTGTAGCGCCGGTAATTTTTAACCTAAACTCACAAATTTGGTACCAATCGACGCAGAATTTAATTCGCTACAGGATGATATAATATTGTCCTCATACATTAAAGGGTTGCTCTACTAGAAAGATTTACCAAAAAATTTCATTCATAATTGGCTACGACATATACATTGTAGAAAAAGAATGAGAACACGAACAACAGTTCAGCGTAAACAACATTTGTTAGCGACGTGAATAGCACTTCAGCCTTCAGCTTCAGCCAACCAAGATTTCTTCTCACTTTTCTTGATGAAGATATACACATTTTTAAAAAACAATGAAAAGAAAAGAGATTTCTCGTGGACGACACTAGTAGATTCCATCGGAAACGATTCCACGAGGGAAAAAAAACGCTGTTTTTTCGATTTCTTCTTCATCTAATTTGCCCAATCTCTAAATTTGGCTCCATATTTCTCTAAATTTGGTTCCTTATCTCTAGTTCGTTGTTTCGACTTTCACTACAGTACTGGACAATGAAATATCATATTTGAAAAACGATCGTCACTTTCGCGCCTCTGTAACTCCCTTGTCTTTGAGTTTAAACTATTAGTGTTATACATTTTCTGAAAGCTCTTTTCAAGGGCTACACAATGGTAATATTAATATTTAGAAATATGATATTTTTTTGACGCATTTCAGCGCGCACAAGATGGGATACTCAAAATTGTTGATTTTCAAAGCCGTTTTTCTTTATGATAGAGTGCTGGAATCGCTCTGAAACTATGATTTTCGGAATCTACGCAAAAATTTACCTTAGAATCATCAAAATTTGTAAAATTGTATCACAGTTTCATAGCGAAAAAAACCACATTTGCGAAATTTCCACTTCTTGAGCGGTTCTTCACAAAAATTGTGTTGCGTGCAACTTTGAATGTTTTTCTTTCTTTGTCTTGGGTAAAATGATAATAATTACTGTTTTTAGGAGCAATGGAAAAGCAACGAGGATGCAAGGATCTTCATGTGCATACACAACAAGCAATCCTTAACGGCAAAAAGCAAGGTCTTAGCCAGAACCAGTTATCGGAACAGTTTACCGTCTCTCAGTCAACCATCTCCAGATTTCTATAACGATCTAAAGTTCGAAAAGTCGAAACTTGAGCGACGAACTAAGAATCTCAAAGCCGGCAATGCCGATGAGAGGTTTGCACAATTGGAGCAGGCTTGGAATTCAATCGCCGTCAGCTTCATCACTAATCTTCTTGATTCAATGCCTCGGCGATGTCAAGCTGTAATCGACGCTAAAGGATTTGCTACTAAATACTGAAAGCCCATTGTGTGCTCTGGGGTTTTCTCATTATTGTTACTGTTTTTGTTACTTTTTAATTTAACTACATTTTTGTTAAATATTTGTTTTCCAGCTTCTTCCTCGCTTGACCGCTCAAGAAGTGAGAATTTCGCAAATGTGGCTTTTTTCGCTATGAAACTGTGAAAAAATTTTACAAATATTGATGATTCTAAGGTAAATTTTTGCGTAGATTCCGAAAATCATAGTTTCAAAGCGATTCCAGCACTCTATCATAAAGAAAAACGGCTTTGAAAATCAACAATTTTGAGTATCCCATCTTGTGCGCGCTGAAATGCGTCAAAAAATATCATATTTCTAAATATTAATATTACCATTGTGTAGCCCTTGAAAAGAGCTTTCAGAAAATGTATAACACTAATAGTTTAAACTCAAAGACAAGGGAGTTACAGAGGCGCGAAAGTGACGATCGTTTTTCAAATATGATATTTCATTGTCCAGTACTGTATGTTTAGAAATCCATCAACGACTGCGATGTCATGGGCTCCGTTCTCGCTCGAGAATCACGACTTTTTGAGTCTAAAGCCAAAACCTGAGATGAAGACAGGCAAGGAAAACTTTCCTAAAGGAAAACAACTGTAATATCTCAATTCCAGACTGGTTTGGTGATAGTTATCGCTTTTGGACGGATTACATGAAGAAATACAAATATGACTGGATCACTTATGGGCCCTGGTAGCCCGTTGTAGTTATGACTTTGTGAATAAACTATCTTTTTTGTTTTTATTCAAAAGAAGAGCTTTGCTTTGCTTTGCTTTGCTTGCCGATTCGACAAGAACGATCACAAGAAAAAATCAACCAAGATTTCTTCTCACTTTTCTTGATGAAGATATACATAATTTTAAAAAACAATGAAAAGAAAAGAGATTTCTCGTGAACGACACTAGTAAAGTTCAAATCGATATTCTGACTTTATTTCACCTAGTCTACACTTTATTTCACCTTTCACTAGCACATCGATTTCACGCAAAAAAATTGAAATGGTAAAATGGTAAAATATTTTTGTAAAATAGGACCCGTATTGGAACCGTATTAGATCAAAATAGGGACCGTATTGGAACCGTATTGGAACCATATTGGAACCGTATTAGATCAATATAGGAACCGTATTGGAACCGTATTGAAACCGTATTGGAACCGTATTTACAAGTAAAATACAAGTAGCGTTTTTTTTAAATTATCCATAAGTTTTCCCTGAGTCCCGAAAACGCTTTGTATGCAAGTTGCTGCAGTTTTTATGTGGAAAAAAAAGCGAATCATGCTTTAAATGAAGCTTTTGCAACCCGTATTGGTTTATTTGCAAAACTACTTACAAGGAAACGCCCCAAAAATGGTGACTTTTAAATGGTGATAAGATGTAAACGCCTATCGGACATGACGAGACCATGACGAGACGAACTTTTCGCCTACGCGCCCTGGTTTTCGAGAAAAACGCATGCAAAGTTTCGACCATTTTCAGCAAACTCTCACCTCACCTATAAGAGGGTGCCACACCAAAATGAACAGAGGTAGTGGCGGTCTAGAGGATAGTGCTTTAGACTATTAGACTAGTGCCATTTTTGCTTGCTTCATTTTCTTATTTTCTCTTGTTTTTTTATGTTTTAATAATAGTATGTTTTATAAATGATTTCCCAGAAACAAAAGGCATCCATTATTTGCTCATTTCATTCGTTTTCGTACAAATTTGAGTCGCAAGGTATAGAAAATTTATCGCTAACTTGTCGATAATTTATCCATAATCTTCAGATTCAGCTCATATCAACTCCTTCATTGTAGATTTGAGCTTGATCCATGAAGTAAGACTCGACCGAGCAAAGATCCTGACCGGCCCATATCTGGAAATAGGCTTTGTATCTGGAAATAGGCTTTGTATCTGAAAATAGGCTTTGTATCTGGAAATAGGCTTTGTATCTGGAAATAGGCTTTGTATCTAGAAATAGTCTGTGCATCTAGAAACAGACTTTGTCTTTGGAAATCGATTTTGTATCTGGAAACAGACTTTGTCTCTGGAAATAGACTCTAGAAATAACTTATCTGTAAATAGACTCTGCCAATACCTAGGGTTTACAAAAAAACTCTTGAATACTTAAAAGACTTTGAATTACCCTAGCATAGCCCTCTTCTCCCCAGCTTGTGCCCCACGAGTTCCGCACGATCCAATACGGATAATCGTCCTCCACTCCTGAAAGTCGTACTTTATCCAAGCTTATTTATAAGGAAACCAAAAATTTTCTTTACCATAACCCGTTATGACCATCGCATGTAAGAAAACGAAAGATTTGCTGTTCTTACCGTATCCCGTTATGACCATCGCATGTCCTCCCAATCCAGACAAATCCTCGCAGCTTGTGTCGAAAGTCCCTCCATCGTAGTACATGAAGTTCCAATTTATGTACATTCCTGAAATCATTTGATCTTTCCTGAAATCATTTCATCTCTTTGTTAGCTTATAAACTTTGTTTTTAAGATTCTATAGTCAATAGGACTCCAAATTTACCGACCGACAGCAATGGGACCATCATTGACAATCGCTCTCTTCACAGTGTCCATATCAAAGGGTAAAAGATCGGTGACTGACGAGACTGATAGTCGCTGTTTAAACTGAAAATGTTTGAGGTAGGCTGGTTGCGAAAAAAAAAGAAAGCTGACCGAGTAACAGCGGAGGTCACCACTTGGATCGTATGGCGAGTCGGACTCCAGCCCGATACCATCGTCCATATAGTGGCTAAAACGGAAGCTTTATTTGGAAATCTTTACTTGGAAATCTTTACTTTATAGCGTTCAATTTTTCTCTCTGAATTCAATGAGTAAGGGAGTAAATAATAGCCAAATACGGCATTCCCTCTATTAGAATTGCGCCATATTATTTTTTTCAACCGCAATACAGCTAAAGAGTTTTATCATTAGGAAAGATAAAAGATTTGTTCCATAACAATTTTTGCAAAAAGAGCAACTTTCTACATTCATTTATTTGTTGTTATACACTTTGCACAGCAAATTTTCGATACCGTATTTTCTCTAGAGCGCCAGGCTCTCCTAGAGGCGCCATGGTAAAGGGATATCGAAAAATAGAATACCATGGCTCTAATACAGAATATAGCTAGTCCTGCTGAGCTCTCCTAGAGGGCGCTAGGCTCTCCTAGAGGGCGCTAGGCTCTCCTAGAGGGCGCTAGGCTCTCCTAGAGGGCGCTAGGCTCTCCTAGAGGGCGCTAGGCTCTCCTAGAGGGCGCTAGGCTCTCCTAGAGGGCGCTAGGCTCTCCTAGAGGGCGCTAGGCTCTCCTAGAGGGCGCTAGGCTCTCCCAGAGGGCGCCAGGGTAAAGGGATATCGAAAAATAGAACACCATGGCTCTAATACAGAATATACGGTAAGTGTTTTTGCTAACTTTTTCAAATGAAGAATAGCTAACAAATAAAGAAAAGAAAACCCAGAACTTTTGCTTGCTTGAACACTTTTACAATTTCACGTAAACACAAAGATATTCAGTCAACAAAGGTTTAGATATAAAACGAGTAGAATAAATGCAAATTTTCAGGTGCAATACTATTCGAGAGAAAACGGTAATAGTAAATAGTGAGTAGATATTCAAAATAGTGCGTTTAAACTCACTTGAAAGCGACGCTTGGAAAGCCGCCCTTGCAGATCGTTTTTTTGTTCGGATAGACGCAAGTCATTTGCTTAAAATATCAGAAAAATTGAATAGCAAATGAAATAAAATTAATTTAGTAATGTTACCTGTTCAGATAAATCGATGATCTCGTTGTTCTCACGAGCATACTGAATCTCCATGCAAGCGGCGGTGCTGAAAATTTACGTACAAATGGCTTTTTTGTCCAAAGAAGTGACAAGGTTTTATTGAAGATTTACTGTATTACTGTATCACTATATCACTGTATCACTGTATCACTGTACTACGTTGAAATTCTCCAAACAAAAACTCCTCACGCGAACGCCCAACAGCTGCCACAGCTTCCTTGATTCTTCACCTCTGGCACCACATCTTTGTCTCTCCAATCGAAAGATTCGGGAAGCTCCTGAAAAGTTGAGTGATTGCCTAGATAAACGCGATCGTAACTGAAAGAAATCTTAGCCCTACATCATCACTGCTTTCCTCTTCATCATCTCTTCGTTTTCTCGTATTTTCTTGTTTCTTCACAAAGCGTTTCGCTGACTTTAAAGCAGCAAGCTGAAAAGTTGAAATGAAAAAGTTCTGTTTTTATTGTTTTTTATAAAGATAATCAATCAAATCAATCAACCAATCAATCAACCAATCAATCAATCAATCAATCAATCAATCAATCAATCAATCAACCAATCAATCAATCAATCAATCAATCAATCAACCAATCAATCAATCAAATCAATCAACCAATCAATCAATTAAATCAAATCACCTGTTCGCTCCTTTTGATGAAGGCTAGAGCCGGTCTGATTCAGCGTCTCTCTTGTGTCTTGGTGGTTTATCTTTCAATGGGATGAGAGTCTGAAAAAGTTGTTAACGCAATTTATTGAGTAGCGAGAATGGAATGGCGTCGAAAGTAAAAGAAATTTCTAAAATTTATAAACTGTGTCTTTGTCAAATGTCAAATGTCAAACTTTGTCAAATGATACGCGTTTGATGGAAAGATTAACTAATTCTCTACAAAATCACATTTAAAAGAAAATTCAAACAGCGCCTCAACTCGACAAAAGGCGACAAATCTATAAATTGTCATCTAGAGAAAACGGTTGAAGGGATCTTTCTGAAAATTTGACAACTTATGTAATTGAGTGTGCTCTATCTTTATTATATAGATACCAAAAGAGGTTTATCTGGAAGAAACTGTTCAAACGATGAGTCGAACTCTTTCCCATTTAGACTAGCGGTGTTTCGAAACGAAAGAAAAGCCACGAAAGAAAAGCCACGAAAAGCAAAGCTTTGCGGAATCTCTCAAAAGTGATTTTGTAGAGGAATCGTAGACGCTTTTGATGAAACAAAACGTGTATTTAAAGAAGGCTTTATGCGTGCAAAAAGTGTCTTTAAAGTTCGCCGCCATTTCATTCTCTTCAACCTAATAATTAAGAGCTAAAGTCTCCTCTTCATTCCGGCATTCCGGCAGGTGCATTCCGGCATTCCGGATGCATTCCGACTTTGTAGTAAAGATCTTTCTTCAGCAAGTCTCTCAAATAGCCAGCTTTTTGCTTTCAAAAAGCTTTATGGAATCTCTCAAAAGTGATTTTGTAGAGGAATCGTGAAGCCTTTTTGATGAAACATTTAAAGAAGGCTTTATGGGTGCAAAATGTGTTATTAATTAATTATAATAATTCGGTGCACTCACAGCTAAAGTCTCCTCTTCGTCGAGGTCCATATAGGGATGCATTCCGACTTTGTAGTAGAGATTTTTCTTCAGCAAATCTTTCAAATAGCCATTGTTCGAGACGAAATTTGTTGCCGCTTTGTCGCCATTTGATCTGCTGATCTTTTTCGCGTATCTAAATATGATAGAAAGGAGTGTTTCTTTGAAGTTTTGTATTTCTTTGAGAGTTCCGTGGTCTTCTGAATTTCTTAACGATCAGCTAGTCAGTCAAAATCAGCTAGTTTTTAGCTTATATTCAAGTCTGAAGATGGCTGACTAGTGAGAGCAATCTAAGGTATAATTTCTATATAATAATAGTCAATCTGCGCGCACTGGCCGACTGGTTAGCGTCCTGGCACCGAGCGTAAGAGGACCGAGCGTAAGAGGACCGAGCGTAAGAGGACCGAGCGCAAGAGGACCGAGCGTAAGAGGACCGAGCGTAAGAGGACCGAGCGTAAGAGGACCGAGCGCAAGAGGACCGAGCGCAAGAGGACCGAGCGCAAGAGGACCGAGCGCAAGAGGACCGAGCGCAAGAGGACCGAGCGCAAGAGGACCGAGCGCAAGAGGACCGAGCGCAAGAGGACCGAGCGCAAGAGGACTGAGCGCAAGAGGACCGAGCGCAAGAGGACCGAGCGCAAGAGGACCGAGCGCAAGAGGACCGAGCGCAAGAGGACCGAGCGCAAGAGGACCGAGCGCAAGAGGACCGAGCGCAAGAGGACCGAGCGCAAGAGGACCGAGCGCAAGAGGACCGAGCGCAAGAGGACCGAGCGCAAGAGGACCGAGCGCAAGAGGACCGAGCGCAAGAGGACCGAGCGCAAGAGGACCGAGCGCAAGAGGACAAAGGTTCGAATCTGCATCCGATTAATTCTGCTTTCTTACCAGTTTTTTTCTATGAACATCCCGAATCCTGAAAACCATTGATTATAAATTTTCTTCCCCTTCCCCTGGGCGTCATTATGCTCAAATTTCAAACGTTTAACCTCAAAAATGAGGCAATTTTGGCCAATTTTGAGCAATCTCTGATCCACTCTCAACTAGTCAGACTAAATACAAGTTGATGTATGATAAAAACTTTAAGTATTTTGCGGCGGAAAGGCTATTGATCTGAGGGTCGCTGGTTCGACTTCCACCGGTGACAATATTTTTCAAAAATTTTTTGCTAACATTCTGAAAATGCGTGTCTAGGGGTTATTTTTGACGCTGATCACGAAACACATGGTTTTAGCCTATGTTTCTGCACGGAAAACTAACGAAACGTGAAAACAGCCATTTTTTGGTCCTGCCGCCCTTTACTAAAACAGCTGTAAAAACTTTTCGAAAAGAGATATCTCAAAACGTTTTTTACCAATCGATCCGTCTTGAATTCAGCTTTAGGATGGCTATAAAACGTCAAAGTTGGACAAATTTAAGGTACTCTCCCAAAAAATCGGAAAGGAAAAAAAATCGGACTTTTCCATCAACCCAATAATTCAGAAGAAATTCAAGAACAGAAAGAGTTTTGCCAGTTTTTGCCACTCGGTGTTGACTGACGTTTTTCCGAAAGTCACGAAGTCGCTTTTGTGAGAGCCGAGAATGGACAGGACACTGGCGGGCAGGTTTGTGAAGTCGAGATAGGTGATCTGAAGAAGAGAAAGAATGAGAAAGAGAAATCGACTTATAAAGTAATGAATAAATCTGATTTTGGAACATTTGCAACATTTGCAACATTTGCAACATTTGCAACAACACCTCCTCACCTCTGTATGGATATCTTTCGTGTTCTCGGTGTCGATCTCGATCTTGATGTGCTGCTTCGAGTTCGAGTGAATGTTCTGCAGAATGTTCATCAGATGCCCGGAGATACCACCTTGCGGTTTCGGCTCGGCATTGATCGAAAAAACGAAGGCTAACAGCCAAAGCAACATGATGTCTGCGGTGAACAACTGTTTTATTGGGTGCGTTCAGTTAAAAGTTGACCTTGAAAAAAGCGATAAGACTTTTCGTTTGTCGATCTTTTTTGATCCGCGTTTTTGATCCGTTTAAAATAAATGCGTCTCTCCAAGTTCGCCAAAAAAACTGTTTCTCACTGGTAGTACATTTGAGAGAAATTTCCGGGTTTCAGTGCTCAACTGGGAATCACGAGGATCACCGGCCGCACTTCTTGTGAGCTTCGTTTGACTGACAAATTGTACTTTCATATCTTCAAGGTTTAGATGGTTAAAAGTAGAGTAAAAAAATTGTGTAACCGTTTGAAATTTAAGAAACTTTTACAAGTTTTATTATAGAGAGAATCTACATCAGAACTTTTCACCCACTCTGTATTCTTATCAGTCAATAGTCATTAGAAAAGGGAATATTGCGTTGGGTAGAGAGGATTTGGAATTCTGATGCAAATGAAAGCTTCTTGGTGATTAGAAAAGGGAATATTGCGTTGGGTAGAGATGAGCAGAATATCAGAGAATGTTGTTATCAGAATAACAGAGAATGCAAAAATCAGAGAATGTTTTGCCTATTGTTGATGTGCATCACTGTAGTGTGCTTTGCCGATTTCAACACAGTCTCGATCAATTAGCGTGTCTGAGCGGCTTTCTCGAGTTTCCCCAAGGCTACAAATACCTTTGTTCCTACAGTGACGGTTTATTTCAATAACGTTTTTGTTGGAAAGAGAAAACTTGGCTTTTAAGAAGGTTTTTGGATGAGTTGCCCCTGATTTGAAGGCTCAACTTCTTCACAAGGACATTGCATTTGCTTTATATAGTTTTGTAGAGAAGGCTTTAAAAGATGTAAGGCTTTGTAAGACTGCCTAAAAGATCAAACATTCAGCAGACCAGTTATGAGAGTTTCAAGAAACACGATGTTGATTCTATTTTATTTGCAGAGTTGCGTTGTTGACCAATCAAAGCTTTTTGGGAATGATTTTAAAGGCAGAACTTCCCAGCTTTCATGTTTTCATTTTGAATGAATTGAAAAATCATTGCTAACGTTCTTTATTGCTTAATCAATGACTTTTCTGGCGTTTTCTTGCATTGATTCTCGCATTGTGCATCTCGATTGTAGTCGGTGACTCTAACGATAATTTTTTTGAAGCAATTTTGTGGAATAATTGAAAAATCGAAGCGATGAATTGGGAAAAAGATCTTTGAAATGAGTTTCAGTGTTCAAAAAACTCTATAATTTCCATAATTGCAAGTTACTCCTTACTCATTTATGAAGTTAAATATTATGAAAGTTGAAATAGTCATTGAAGTTGAAATAGTTGAAGAAGTTCGACAAAATTCAATCTGAACTTATAAGTGCGGCAATTTGAATGAACAGTTTGGAGATCATTTGGCTTTTGCATCGCTTTGCATCGCTTTGCATTTGTTTGCAAGTTCTATTTAATTTTCAGCTAACTGTGTTTATTTCTTTGCTGAGCTTTCAAGTAAACAAAACACACATTAATAAAACTGTAACGATAGGAAATCTTGAAACGGAAGAGTTTAGATTCTTGGCAATACTCTAGTTATACTCAATAGCTCTAGTTATACTCAATAACTCTAGTTCAAGTCATTTTCCAAGAAATATTTAACGATAAAATTGCGGCTGTGTGAAAAACTGAGAAAAGGGACCGTACTTAAGCCGCCATTACAAGATAAAATGTGCCAAATCTTCACACGTTTATCAACGAGAACAGAATATTGTAGTAGGGCAGACTTTCCTCCGAAACATTATCATTATCAATAGACAAAAAAATCCACTTTCTTCTCAGTCAATGTCGCCAAATCTCAAGCCAACCCTTTCAACTCTAGCCGAATTCTATGAGCTTTACATTGTTTTACTCATCACTGTCATCTTGGAAGGTTTGAGGACAAAACTTTGGCTGTAGAAGGAAATTTTAATTTAAGGCATCTATGTTTCTCTCGGAGTTATCTATACTCAATCAACTATGTATGTGTCACCATTTGGTATTGACATATCTGTAAGTTGGCGTGATTTTCTCATGATTTCCCTTCAGATTGGATCTTATGTGGTACGTTGGTTTCAGAGAAGATTGTGGGACATTTGAGATGGGCCCCGCCTCTTTGCTATTGGCAATCCAACTTTGGACTCAAATATCTTGGTGTTGGGCTGTTCAATTTCAATAGTTTTTGTACGAATCGACAGAGAAAGACTTGACGCATCTAATGATACCAAAATTGTTTAAATTGGACACTCCAAAGCCAAGATATTTAAGCTCAAAGTTCGATTGCCAATGGCGGGGCGTTCCTTTTATACGCGCCCCGCCCCTTCTTCATTGACAATCCAACTTTGAGCTCAAATATCTTGGTTTTTTATCACATGTATCTAGTATCACAAGTAGTGGATAAGTACCAGTTTAGTATAGGTAGTAATGCAGAGGGGCGGGGCGCGTATAAAAGAAACGCCCCGCCCCCTTTACCATTGGCAATCCAACTTTGAGCTCAAATATCCTGGTGTTGGGTTGTCCAATTGAAATACTTTTTGTACCAATCGACAGAGAAAGACTTGGCGCCTCTAATGATACCAGGAATATTCAAATTAGACAGCTCAACACCAAGATATTTCAGTTCAAAGTTAGATTGCTAATGACAAAAGGAGCGGGCGCGTATCAAATGTCCGAAAACCTTAAAAGAATGTTGTATTTCAAAATTAACTATGTTTTCTATAGGTTTTATTCGCTGGCTTCATTGTGTCACCAGTTGCTATCTATTTTGTGGTGAAAAACGATCGATTGTCGATTCCGATTCGGTATTTTTGTACATATTCTTTTGTATTTTTATTTACGTATTTTTATATACGTATTTTTGGCACAAGTTCAAGTTTAGCAAGCATTTTCCAAACGCTTTTATTTTTAATCAAATCGATCAATTCGAAATGTTCTTCTTTTGCTTACAGAAGAGTTTTTTTTCGATTCTTTACCGAAATTTCGCACTTTGATAAGCTTTTCTCTATTTCACGAATGTTATCCATGTGGATACCGTAATACCTGGAATATTAGCGTCCCATAATGGCGTACAGTCGCGTAGTCGCTAAAGTAAATCATTTTTTTTGAATGAGCCCAAATTTTTCTAAAATTAACTCTTAGTACCAAAAAATTCTTCGCTTCAAGCGCTATCTTTTGATAAGCACACATTTTTTGTTGAAGCAGCGCGGAGAATCGAGCGTCACCAAATTGTGAGTTAGACGACGCGACTGTACGGCGGGAGCGCTACTATTACAGGTATTACGATAAGCTATTATGTAATGTACAGTACCGCTCAAAATTATATCCTCGAAAAAGTGGTGCTGTTTTGAGGGATTGTAACTTTAGATATAGACATCGTATCTATAAGTACTATATAGCATCTGAAAGCTCTCATTGAGCTCTACAAGAAATGCTACAACACTTTGAAGAATACAATAGTTTTAGCCAGCTTTTAGGGGGTTGAAGCAAAGCAAATATTTTGGGTGATTTTCATGATGTGTGATTGCTTTGCTTCAACCCCCTAAAAGCTGGCTAAAACTATTGTTTTCTTCAAAGTGTTGTAGCATTTCTTGTAGAGCTCAATGAGAGCTTTCCGTTGCTATATAGCACTTATAAATACGATGTCTATATCTAAAGTTACAATCCCTCAAAACAGCACCACTTTTTCGAGGGGATCTATTTTAGCTGAGAGGTCAAAAAGTTAAAAGTTAAGTTTGCTTTTCATATCTAATAACAGAGCTTTTAATAATAGCTAAAAATAGCGTCCAACAGCGTCCAACAGCGTCCAACAGCGTCCAACAGCGTCCAGCAGCGTCCAGCAGCGTCCAGCAGCGTCCAGCAGCGTCCAGCAGCGTCCAGCAGCGTCCAGCAGCGTCCAGCAGCGTCCAGCAGCGTCCAGCAGCGTCCAGCAGCGTCCAGCAGCGTCCATCAGCATCCATCAGCGTCCATCAGCGTCCATCAGCGTCCATCAACGCAGACCGTGAGCTTTCGATGACGTCCAGGAGACTTCTTCTTGCCATGAGAAAACAGCTGATTGCAAAGTTTGTTCCATAATTTTGCCACCCGCTGTACTCTACCTCTCTCTGCATACACAAGCAAACTGCCAAGTGGTATTAGGGCTCCACTAAAACTTCAAATGAATCTAAAAAAAATCTAAAACACCAAATGATTAACCCCAATCTAGTAAAGCCAAGTCCAAAATGGTCTGGTATAGTCACTCTTGTTATGAATGTTATGAATGATGTCAGAGTACTGTCGACCACGGAACTCCTCCTCAAAATACTCTATGGACTGCTGTATGTGTTGTCCAACTACTGCCTACTATTCAATCAACTCTCACCAACTTTCACTTGCCCTAAAAACTATCCCGATATCACATACAATTCGACTTTCTATAGCTACCTCGATATTTTATATGACACATCTCAATACTGCCAGTTGATGATCTCAATCAGTCGCTTCTTTGCTGTTTCATTCAATGGACTCTATTATCGATATGCTTTGAAATGGCCACTAGTACAAGTTTTGATTCCAATCTTGTTACGAGTTGGACTAGAATTTATTGATTCACGAATATATTGGGATATTCAAGATTATTTTCATGACTACGTGATGCCAGTGCCTATATTTTTAATGTGCTCTCTAGACTTTATGACAAATCGAAAACTGAAAAGTGTGAGTTGAGTTATGGCTCCAATATGGTTCCAATATGGTTCCAATATCGTTCCAATATGGTTCCAATGTGGTTCCAATATGGTTCCAATATGGTTCCAATATGGCTCCAATATGGCTCCAATATGGCTCCAATATGGTTCCAATATGGTTCCAATATGGCTCCAATATGGTTCTAATATGGTTCCAATATGGCTCCAATATGGCTCCAATGTGGTTCCAATATGGTTCCAATATGGCTCCAATATGGCTCCAATATGGCTCCAATATGGCTCCAATATGGTTCCAATGTGTTTCTACCAGGAATATGGTTCCAATATGTTTCTACCAGGAATCTGATTCCAATATGGTTTCCGTAGAGCTACTAACTCTACTATGCTAGAGTTTTGCAATCAGAAATTGAATCAGAAATTGAAATCTAAAAAGCCTGAACTTCAGAATGTGTAAATTTTCAGCTAAAAGGCTCACGACGAGCTACAGAAGCCGAAAGACTTTTGATGATACAAGTGGGTTGAATGGAAGCCCGCAAATCACTAGTGTTTCGATTTAGATGTTGTGCAACTCATTTCTCAACATCACCAACACAATCATCATGTATCTTTTATCCCTTTTGACCCATGTATTCTTTGTGGTGAATGTGCTGATTGTATGGATTGTCTTGGTTCCCTTTGTGAAATGTCTATTTTTCAATTTGATTGCCAGGTAAACGAAGAAAGAAGACAAAAATGTTTTCAGATTTTAGTTTATTAACTGCTATATTCTTGAGAAAACGGAAACCAAAAGTGTCAAATCTTGAAACGAGATCAATGGAAACACTGCCTACATTGTCAGCGAGTGCTATTCGAAACACAAATGTCAATAGATAAATTTCTTTGTTCAAAGAAAAATAAAGCTTTATTAGAGCATCGAAATTGTACTCTTGATGACACTCACACGTAAAGCTCATCAGCTCATAACTGAAAGTGTTGATTTTAGACTAGAATACATTATCCTGTTTTAGCTAGCCACTAGACTCAACACCTGATGCCCTTTGTGGCTCAATCTCAACAGCTGTGCCATCCCAATCACTCGGATGAACGTGAGATGAAGAGTTTGTAGCGTGTTTCAATAGGTCGTGAATCATTTGACCACCATCCGGGTTGTGTGTTTCGGGTCCCCATCTTGCATGTTGATGGGGCTGTAGGGAGATGTTCAAAGTAATTCAGCTCCATTTTGACGACACCAGCCCGACATCCTTACAAAAAATCCTCTCCGAATCTGTAGTCGCCGTCCCATCATCGCTGGCTTCTGTGCTTCGGGTCCCCATCTTGCATGAATGACCATCCTTATTCCATTTAGGCTCGTGCATGAGGTAGTATGTGAGTCCCAGTATGTCCTTGTACTTGTGGGTATTCATGATTTTGTCTATCAAAGCCAGCGGACCAACTTCGGATGCTGACATGCAACCTGAACATAGACATAGACACAATTAGGTAAATTCTGGGAAAACGTGAACAAACTCCCAAATCAAGCTTCTGCCGCCATTGAAATGAACCGTAGGATGAAGATACTTAATTTTGTAGCGTGTTTTAATAGGTTGCCAAATCATTTGACCACCATCCGGGTTGAACATGTTGATCTTTCTCTCGTCACTCCAGAGAACACTCCATAAGTAGAATCCCATCCTACCGAAGAGTTGATATTGTTAATGACTAAAATTGTTACTGACAATGTAATCTTGGTTGAGTTTATTTACCACACTTGTAGTATAATATTTAACAATCTCGAAGTGCCACAGCAAGCAGTAGAAGATTCACCGAGTATTGCCTGGTTTCTGAGTTTCGATCTCCGAAAGCTCGCATCTCTTTTATATAATCGATTTCTGCTCAACCAATTGAAAGGAAACGAGGAAGAGCTTTAAAAAGTGATTTGATGAAAGCAATGAATGAATCTCTAATTTTTGATTTATTTAGTTTTGATTTATTTAGATCTATTTTTGATTCATTTAGCTCCTTTTTGCTAAATGGATTCCAATCTTGACCTAGTCAATCTTTTTGAGCTTTAAAATTTTCCAATCTTTAGCTTCACGCTGATTTTATAATTTGATTTGACTTTCAGTATGATTTATTTTATAAATTTACTTTGTCGCTGTAGATGTTAAAAGTAAAACATTGAACTTATAGAAGAGAGATAAATATACTATTCTATTAGGTTGATGAATTGAAAACTGCGGGACTTTGAACTAAGATTTATTGAATATAAAACCATGAATTCATTCGAAATAATTTCCATTATTATTGACGACTTCTGCCCATTTTCAGGCAATTTGCGGATTCCTCTTTCGTAGTTGGATTTTGGTTTGTGTGTGAGACAAGTGTGAGACTCAAAAATGGAGGACTGGAGATGGAGACTGGAGATGTCCCAGTTTGAGCACTTTCTTCAAAAGAAACCCATTTTTGTGTCAATAGAAAGTTGTAGAGAATCAAAAATTAGGCTTATAGCCAAATTTCCAAAAAGATACACCTAGTAGTTTCGCTTAAAATGCAAGTTTTGTGAAAATTTGGCATTTCTTTCTTAAATTTCGCATTTCTTGAAAATCAGTTTTTGAATCGTTCTGAAAATTTGGATATAAGCTTGATTTTTGATTCTCTACAACTTTTCCATTGACACCAAAATGGGTTTCTTTTGAAGAAAGTGCTCAAACTATCACATATGACAATAGCCCGCAGTTTTCAATTCACCAACCCAATGAAATAGCTAAACTAGAATAGCTATGGATTCCAATTTTGACCTAGTCAATCTTTTTGAGCTTTAAAATTTTTCAATTTCTAGCTTCACGTTGAATCTTTGGCTTTAGCAAATTGGAAACAATAGCTAGAATTCTACGCTAAATAACTTCTATCAATAGCTACAATACTTTAAGTGGCGAAAACTAAAACGCAATAGCACACCTCTTCCCTCATTTATTAGCTGCTTTTCCTCCAAAGACCAATAGTTTTTTTTTTACACACAACAAAATGTCTTATCAGAAAAATTGGTTAGAGCAGAGAGAAGATAAAAGAATAGCTCGCCAACAAAACCAAACTCTTAATTGTTTTTTGTTTCTTGTTTCGTTAGCAATGTCAAAAAATAATACCATTTATCAAAGTCCAATCTGGCATCGTTTCATGATCTTCGGCACTCAATGCACAAATCATGTTGCTAATGCTACTGACGATTTCATTTGGGCTAACGTTTCTAAGGACCAAAAAACAAGTTATGAGGTAATTTTGAGATATAGAACTTGAGATATAGGTAAATATTGAGTAAATTTCAGTTACAAGCAAGTATCCAGTTGCCCTTCGGTGAAGTCGAATATAGAAGTTAGTTTTGTTTTCCGTTAAACCAACGATATTCTTTTAAATTCACAGTAAATTTACAGTAAATTTGAAGGTAGATAGGTCGTAAAAAAAGTAGTAGGTGTTAGCAAAACACTGAGACGAAATTACAGCAAATCATTCCACAATTTTTCAACAGCTTGATACTTGCTCGCAACTCAAATTTCCTCAATCATATAAGTTCGATTATTTAGTTGGCAACCGTGAAATTTCCGTTACAGATAAAACTTCTTAACAATTTATTTTCAACATAAAATTCAATCAATCCAAAATATATTCACCATTATTTTCGATGACTTGTCTTCATCTTTCTTTCAAATCCCTGATCTCATTCACAAAGAATTCGGCCGGCTGCGAGTCGAAATATCTGACCAGCAAAATTAGGAACAGAATTAGGAAAAATTAAGATGAGATGTCCCAAACATATCGGCAAGGCTTTCGATTTGTTAAACTGGGGTCGGTCTCAACAGCACGAAGCTCTTCCTGGTCGAGCACCTGTCCTCGTTCCTCGATGTCCTCGTTCCTCGTTTTCTAGATCCTCATTTCTCTTTTGAAAACGCTCAAATCAGTTTCTAATCCGTCGTTCCGATATCGATATCGCTCCGATTCATCTCCAAAGACCATCTTGATTCATTTGTGAGTCTTGGCAGCGGTTTTTCCTTGCTTGAAATCGTGCAACAAACAGATCAGAATTCGATGCGTTGACTCATTGACTCGTTCATTCTGTAAATAAACGAATTTAAATCCGATGAATGAAAAGAAAACACAATTCGCACAAGCATGTGCCTTTAACCAATATTATCAAAAAAAACAGAATCATAAGTCGATTAAAAATCGAGATTTCACTATGATAAGTCAGCGGAAATTTCAAGGTTGCCAACCGAATAGGTTCAGAAAAAAAATAATGCGCTTTCTTTGGGTGTAACAATTTAATGCATTCTACAAGAAATAGGAACTATCAATCAGTAAGATATTCTCCATTTTATCGATGACTTCTTCCCATCAAGTCCTTGATTCCACTTGTGAAGAATTCGCGATTTTTAGAGCCAAACTAAATGCCGCTTTTTTGATTTGATCATCGAACTTTTCTCCCATGATAAACTGTTTCAGGGATCAAAATAAAAAGTAATCTGACGGGGCTAAGTCAGGAGAGTAAGGCGCATGTGGAAGCAACTTCCAGTATAGCTCGTCAATTTTTTTGTGAGTGATTTTTGCATATGGCGTTGTTATGCAAAAATCGAATCTTTGATGGATTGAGCCCCAATTTCCTTCAAGCATCGTTAATTCTAATTTCTTGTTTTGAATAGAGATCAGCATTAATGTTTTCTCCTGGATTTGCTAACTCATAGTGTACCAAACCTTTTCACAGTTCCACTAGAGCATTATTTCCTTTCTGTGAATGTGAGGTTTGGGAGTGAGGGGTTTGGGGAGTTTTTCCGGTAGATAGCCATTGGTTCTTCCTTTTGGTTTTTGGCCATTGGTTCATTCTCGTAATTAATCCAAGTTTCATTAGACGTCAAAATCGAATCTCTAAAACCATCAGCATTTATGGAGCGAAAAAAAGAACTGACGCTAACTTAGCAAACGGAACCGATGAATCAGCACCAGATCGAAGAGCTCAGTTCACTCGAATCGAGGCCGGATCATATCTGGCCTTTCGTACAAATGGCTGTGCCCAAGTGAAATATGTGGCTGTATATCGATTCGTCGATGGAACTCTAGAGTGAGTTGAATAAATAAAGCTGAAATTTTTGGATTGTCTAATAACAAACATCGACATTCTTTCCAGATGGATCGCATCTGGACATCCGATTGCATGTGACGAGAGTGTGATTGCAACGAAAAATGGTGGTATGCAGATTTCGGAGATGGGCTCAATTTGGAAGGATATCGCTGGAAAAGTGCATAAATCGTCAGTTTAAGAAAAGCGTTTTATCAGTCTATATGTTGCAGTCGCTTTTAAATGTAATGTTAATTTTTTGAAATTGAAATTGGTTAACCGATATGAAATTAAATCTCTCAATAAGAACTTCTTTGCTCATGTTAGTTAATAAGACATAAGTTTATGTTTAGAAAATCAGGCAGATTTTTTAATGTGACGTGAACTTTTACCATTTATCATCGCAAGATTTTCCATTGCATAAAGTAGATTATTAAGAACAAAAAGAGCAGAAAACGTGTATTTCTCTAGTCAAAAAAGTGACTTTTTTGTTGCTCGGCTACGGTAGAAAGTCCACACTATAGTGTGGCAACTTCGAAAATCTGAGTTGCGTCCGTTCAAAACGCTACTAGTTTGTGCAGAATTGATCAATCTCTATACTTTTTTGCACAAAAACATTCACAAGATATATGCCAACAAAACTTGTTGCTTTGTTTTGACTTTTCCCCTGCATGCCAGCAATTTATAGCGCTCAAAGCCCAAAATAGCCTATTTTTTTACATGGGAAAAAGACAAAAAATTCAGTCAGACGGATTTCAAAAAAAGTTTCAAATTTGGAATCAGGATGCTTTTTTTACGTTAATTGGTACCTTTCCCGTTCAAAACCTATAGAAATGACTTTTTCGCGCGAATGTGCCCGCCTTCTAAGTTCAAATGTTTTTAAACAAATAAGTACAAATGTTAAATAAAAGGGTTTCTAAGGTTTATGTGTTCTTTAGTGCTGCACGTACTTTTTCAAATGACTGCTCGAGAAGAAAAGAAAAGTCGAAAAGTTTCAGGACTTTGAAACAAGTAAAAGAAAACTTTTAGAATTTGACTTTTTGAAAGAATTTCAGGCTTTTGATAGCTTTTTAGACTAAAATTACTATTTGAAACTTTTTAAAAACCAATTATTTATCGTATTCCACTTTTTTTAAAAGCCAATTTACCGTATTTACCGTATTTGTATAGAAATTTTCCGCAAAAATTTATTAACATAAGGTTTAAGAAGATTTTGAATGAGTATCATATTGAAATGCAGTGTAAAAAGTGTAAAGTGTAAAGTATAAAAAAAAAGCTATGCAAATCAAATTTGAGCTCCATTTTTGCTAGATCTCTCAAATGAAACTTGCAACAATTATAGTGAGCCAATGAGCAATTAAAGCAACAAAGCCAGTGAGCAATTAAATGAAATTAAAGAATTGGAAAATACTGTGTTCTCTCTAATAGTGGTGCACCGTGAGCGTGGTCTAAATTGCTCGAAATCTCGACAAGGGCTTATCAGAACCTGTCGATTTGGGGTCGGAAAATGTAGCTCACGATGAGATCTTCTCGGGGATTAGAGTGTTGAGCTTCTCCAAAAGCTTGGAGATCGTAAAATAGTCATCAAACTCGGCTCGGCGCGGTGCGCTACTATTAGAGAGAATACGGGAATGAAATGAAAAAATATTGGTTTAATGGAAAAATAATTGCCTTAATGCAGTACTTGAGAATTTGATGAACAAAAAAGTAATCTAGTCCCGTGTCACATTCATTTCTTTCAACCTATCCGCCAACTCATCGATTCTCGCGACTTTTCCCTTCAACGGACTCTCAAATCGAATCCAACCATATCCATTCTCTTTCGCCCACGACGACACATAGCTGGCCACATCGGTCTTGATCTTGATCGAGAATTTTAGACCCTGTTTTTGCAAGACTTTCTCGACTTCCCTCATGATTTCTACGCTTGCCGGGCAATTCGCTTGTATTTTCAGCCTTGATGTCTCGTCTTGATCAACGAAACGCGCAAATGACAGCGAGATTACCGTATCCACTCCGAAATTCCCGTCATTTAGCGCTTTGGCCTAAATTGCTCGAAATCTCGAAAAGCGCTTATCAGAACCTATCGATGTGTGATCGGAAAATATAGCTGACGATGAGATTTTGAGGGGGATTAGAGTGTTGAGCTTCTGCAAAAGCATGGAAACCGTAAAATAGCCATCAGACTCGGCCCGGCGGTGCACTACTATTAGAGAATACGGTAATTGGTTTAATGAAACAATAATTGCCTTAATGCAGTACTTGAGACTTTAATGAACAAAAAAGTAAAATTTAAGCTTGTTTTTAAAGAAAAAAGGGTGATTCTAAGGATGAATTTGTAAACGTACACTTTCTAGGCTTACAAGATCAAGGGTCAAGTGTGCTAGAAAGAGTGTGTTTCCGAAATCCAAGCACAAAGTACACCTTAAAGACGAAATCTAGTCCCGTGTGTCACATTCATTTCTTTCAACCTATCCGCCAACTCATCGACTCTCGCGACTTTTCCTTTCAACGGACTCTCAAATCGAATCCAATCATGCCCATTCTCATTCGCCCACCACGACACATAGCTGGCCACATCGGTTTTGATCTTGATCGAGAAACTTAATCCCTGTTTTTTTAAGACTTTCTCGATTTCCCTCATGATTTCTATGCTTGCCGGGCCATCTGCTCGTAATTTTAGCCTTGATGTCGCGTTTCGGTGATCAGGACAATCATCGAAACGCGCAAATGACAGCGAGATTACCGTATCCACCCCGAAATTCCCATCATTTAGCGCTTTAGCCAACGCTAGCCATCCCTCAGCCAGTTGTTTACGAATGAATTCCTTTCTTAGACCGTAGTAGTGGAGAATGAAGCTGCTACCGAGTGCTCCCGTTTCCTCAGCCAATCGCTTTTGGCCTTCAAGTTTTGAGATATCTTCGTAATTCTCGATATTCCTCTCATAGTGGTCCTGAACTCTTGCGCACTCCATTTTCATGTTTTGCAAGAATCTCGTGGGATCTAGGCCGTTTCGACAGGGTTCCCACTCGGGATCCCAACCGTTTGGCAGAGTTTTTCCGATGAAAAAAATCTTTCGGCCCATATTTGGGTCAATCGGGTTGCAAGTGAGATCGATTTTCTCTAAAGTCAGCAACTTTTGCGGACTAGTTTTCTCGAGGAATTCGCCGATTTGGATCTGGGAATAGATGTCCTCCAATAGGGGAGCTGGCTCGTCGGGATTCATGCCTGGAATTGAGAATAATTAGAAATAATTGAGAATAATATACCAGAAAATGAACATGAGCAAAGTACCGTAAAAGCTGTAATAGAGGAGCGTCACGTAGTCTAAGTTTTCTTTCATAAACGTACCATTCCTTTGAACGCTTCCCAAGAAAAGAAAAGACTAACCATCCGAAAGTTCAGTCATGTGCAAAAGTCTTTTCACATTCAATTTTCTAAAAATTTTCATCAAGTTTCTTCGATAAAGTTCATGGCGCTCTTTAAGCCATTAATAGTTTTAGTTACACAAATATATGTACAATTTATTTACACGAACGTTATCGGTATGCAACACTTATTCATTGAGAAAAAAGTATAATTGGCAAAAAAGCCGATTTTTCAATCATTTTTTCAAGTGCTGTGAAAAAAAATGTCTGGGTGTCGAGATATGAGCGGTGCTTTGAGCGTAAACTTAGACTACGCGACGCTCCTATAGGGGCTCTTCTATTAGAGCTTTTACGGCATACATAGGAATATATAGATACTTTATTCAGGACCTGAGATAAAGTGCGTTAGATTTAAGATTAAAACACATGAATTCATACACATAGCACGAAAAAGGCGAAAAAAGCAACACGATATAATATACAGTCGAACCTCTCTATAACGTAACTCACGGGACGGCTATAGCTTACGTTATATAGAGGTTTACGCTATATAGAGTGCCGTTTTATATAGCTTAACGTCGGCCGGGACCGGTCACGCCTTACGTTATAGAGAGGTTTACGTTATATCGAGGTTCGTTATAGAGAGGTTCGACTGTATGTAATTATGGGTAGCACAGATAACTCAAGATCAAGGTAGATCAAGAATCCACTAGAGCTTCAAGATCAAGATCATCTACAGATAATTTAAAGGTTTCGAGACTATTGGACCCTCTCAAAACTCTGGGGAGTCGATTCCAAATTCTGGCAGTTCTTATTGGAAAAGAGTTATACACAAACTTATTGGAGGTGACTGGAATTTCTAAAACGAAAGAACCTCTCCTTGAACTAACCGTGGGATTAACTTTGAATAAATCTCGAAAAAGAGGGATAGGTTGCCTGCCCTTCACAGTTTTGAAACATTCTATTAAATCCGTGACCAAGCGGCAGTGTCTAAGAGATTTAAGATCAAAAATTTTGAGTCTATCTGTGTAACTAAAGTATGCAAATCTGGAAAAATCTAAATAAAAAATCCATCTTAAAAAAAAAGTAGAAATTCTGGGATGAAAAGAGCAAAACAACAAGCTGAATTAACAACCATTTTTAGTTGCAGCTACATTTGAGTTATACTGAACATCATTCGAAGTTTAACTGCAAAAACAAGGATTGACAAGCACCGAGAGGTCAGATTAGCATCAGAAATATTGAACCAATTGGTTCTCTTTCTGATGATGACCGTCAGAAACAATTGCAAAGAAGCTATTCATTTCAAGAAATTTCTAGAAAAATACAAATAAAATAAATTTGTTTACTTTCCGAAAAGATCTCCATAGATCGGCTTCATTGACAATGTCATTGAATAGAAAATTGAGGAAGGGAACATCTGTTAGTGATATCTTAGTTACTATTGTTATTATTGAATGATTTGTTTATTCTTCTGTAAATGTGTTCTCCCATGTGCTTATCCTTTTCATCGCCGAGAAGGGACAGTCCTTGGGATTAGGAGGAGAAGAGAAGGAAGAGAAGTGAGGCTCTCACTTGTCCTTTGTTCATTTTTATCCCTTTCTACACTCATCGGATGTCTTCACACAATCATGAGCAGTTTAATAATTCTTCTTGTTGTTCGAGTAACTTTCCTAAAGCTTAGTTGCATCAACAGTCGATTTCAAATTGCCGGAATTGGTTGAAGAAAACGCTAAACTAGATATATGTCGTAGCCGATTATGAATGAGTGGGTCCAGGAGCGTCCAACCATCAAGTATTTGGGTCTAGTAGCGTCTAGGAGCGTCCAACCATCAAGTATTTGGGTCTAGTAGCGTCTAGGAGCGTCCAACCATCAAGTATTTGGGTCTAGTAGCGTCTAGGAGCGTCCAACCATCAAGTATTTGGGTCTAGTAGCGTCTAGGAGCGTCCAACCATCAAGTATTTGGGTCTAGTAGCGTCTAGGAGCGTCCAACCATCAAGTATTTGGTATCATTCAACGCAGAAACATTGATAATTATGTTAAATTTCTAAGATTAGCAAGATTTGGTGAAAAGAAAAAAATTACGGAGCTTCAAAGTTTTCTCTCGAACAAACAGCTTTTATGCTCTAATTCTTTTTCTTTTTATCAAATCTTTCTAATTTAAAAAATTTAACATAATTATCAATGATTCTGCGTTGAATCAAACCAAATACTTGATGGTTGAACGCCTCTAGATCCACTCATTCATAATCGGCTACGGGGGTCGCATTAAAAATTGCGTTGTACGCAATTTTTAAACTAAACTCACAAATTTGGTACCAATCGACGCAGAATTCAATTCGCTAATAAATGATATAATATTTTCCTCAGACATTAAAGGGTTGCTCTACTAGAAAGGTTTGCGAAAAAATTTCATTCATAATCAGCTACGACACAATAAATGAAAAAGTCCTCAAACTTCTAGAATTTTTATTGCAATCAATCCAATATAAAGATTGTTCCAGAAAAACGCTTGAAAAATATTTTGTCTGTTTATTTCCTGAGAGGCATTCTAAGGGCAATTGTGGGTTTTGGGTCAAAATCTGGAGCCAGCCAGCAGCCAGCCAGCCAGCCAGCCAGCAGCCAGCCAGCCAGCAGAATGAATGACTCTATCTGGTAGGTCCTTGAGGCAAAAGTCTGCTCAAAACCGCATGAAAATGTTGAAAGTTTGAAGAAAAGTCTTCTGAAAGCTTAGGATGCACTCGATGATGCTCATTTGCTCCTTTCCTAAACACTTTACACCGTGCTCGGCCAAAAATGGTGATCACTTTGAGTTTAATTCTTACTTTGCTCTTCATTTATATCAAATGAAGTTTTTAAAACGAAAGTTAGCTCTCTAAAGTTTAATTTTGTCTACCTACAAAGCTTTTTATCTGCACCTATAATTATGAGCCACTCTGTAAAACTAACAAGGGAAATGCACCAACTTAAGGTGAGCTTTTTGGATCGAGACCCAGACCATTCGATGCAGAATTTCACGCCAATTCCGAATCTGCTTTCCGTTTTTGCAAAATGACTTTCTATCATAAGTTACAAAGTTTGTTTGTAGCCAAAAAACTGAAATGGGGTTCCCACACAACGCTGAAATTTTCCTAGCCAAAATGGGGTTCCCACATAGCGCAGTGCTGACCAAATGTGGACTAGCGGCGCAGTGAGTAGAGGACTTCTATACGAAGCGATTTGCTCATTTTTTGGTTGGGTTCAATCCATTGTTTTTCATTCCATCCTTTGTTTTTCTTTTTATTTTGATCTTTCAACACTTAAATTTTGTTTCATTTTTATATTCCAAATATGGAATTTATCAATTCTGACTATTGGGAAATTTTCTTTTGCTCTTTTGATGCCTAAGTAAGCTCTCTTAATTCAATAGAGAGGGGACATAAACTTCAATATCAAAGAAAATCAGTGTGATCCCCTCAAATCTGTATTCAGCGCATAAAAAGTTATCTTGAAAGCAATTTGTTCATATTTTTATGCACAAGTTGCTCAAAAATATCATAAGATACCGATCAAAACCCGATTACAAAAATAGAGAGCACAACAAATCTGTGATTTAACAAGAAAAATACTGAATGAGGTATGGAATGGGGAGGAAAAGAGGGATTTCACATAAACACGCACGAGTAAGAGATCAAAAATGGGAATCCACGAGGCGGGTGGGCCTCTTAAATTTGGGGATTTGCAAATATTAGCATATGAAGATTTTTACATACACAAAAGCTCATTGTTGATGAGCATTTGGTAGTGGTTCATCGAAGAGATTCTCGTATCCTTGTGAGTATGGACCGTCGAAAAAGCTGTCATTGAGCGCCTCCAACGCTGTGCATCTCATGTCACCATTCCATCGGATACACTCTGAAATTTCTTTCTTGAGCCTTTCTTTCTTGAGCCTTTCTTTCTTGAGCCTTTCTTTCTTTTCTTTCTTCTTTTGAGCCTTCTTATAGAAACATTACAGTGAAGTACAGTATAGTGACGGTGACTTCAAGTCTCTAAAAGTCGATCTAAAACGCATTTCCTCAAGCTTTCACTATGAAATTCGTAATCTACACAAAAAACTGCCCTAGAAAAAGCGCTTTTGAAGAAAAAAAGTTGCTCAAAAACGGTATTTCTTTGAAGCTAAAGTTCTGGTGAGCAACTAAATCTTGTAAGTCAATTACAGTCAATTTCAAAGTCTAATTATCAACAAATCATCGAATTTGAGTTTTCAACGAATCCATTTTTATCAACTTACTCTCAATGAAGCGACAAGCAGCTTGTGAAAGCTTTGGATTGAGTTGATAGAGTGATTGGCGCGGTGTCCACTCGTAGAATGACAGAGGGATTATTGCGTCGGATGGCCAATCCGATTCGGATGGTTTACCCATTTTGCTGAAACTCTTTGATTTTAGAAGATTTCGCTTTAAAACATCTTCAATTGTAAATCCTTCTAAAAGCTTAGCCTTCAGAAAAGTCCAACAGTTTAGCCAAGCTTCTATCACTCACTTGACGATGATCTTCAACTGATCGGCCTCGGTTCTTCCCGGGAAAAGGGTTTGTCGATTGTACATCTCGCTGAGAATACACCCAAATGCCCACACATCCACCGAGCTTCCGTATGTCGTTTGCAGCAAAACTTCCGGGCTTCGATACCACAAAGTGACAACCTAAAAGTGGTGAAGATGTCTTTCGTGAATGATTCTTTTCAGCGATCTTATCAAACGTAAAACTACTGGCATTACTGCTGGCATTACTAAAATCAAAAGATCTTGACTACTGGAAATTTCTGATAAAAGAAATCGTCTTCATTTGGATCAGAAAGCTAGAAAAGTTCTTGTTAAGGCTTTTTTTAGTCTCCAAGTTATTCAGGTTAAACCTATAGGATTATGCAGTAAGAATAGTTCTTTCCAATTCCAATCCAAGAATTCTTTCCAACAACAAATCTATCCAGTAATGGCATTGATAATAATATTGTCAGCTTTATAATAAAATTTGCTTACTAGCTGGCTTCGAATTTCATTTCAAATCAATTCAATTTCAATTCAATTCAATTTCAAATCACTCACCACAGTTGTGAATTGAGCGCACGCTGACGCAAGTCGAGCCAATCCAAAGTCAGCCAACTTCACGGACAAATTCCTGAAAACGTTGAAATAGGATTAGAGATTAATACTGATTGATTATAGTAGTTATTAGCAATTAATACTAAATAATAATAGTAGTTATTAGCAACTGAAAAACCCAAGAAAGAAAGGAAAATGAAATCGGGAAGAATGAAAATGAAAACTGATCACATCACTCCAAAAACCCACCTCAGCTTTCAAGGTAAACGCTAAAACTTTTGAGATTTTTAGATTTTGCTTTTTGATTTTGATTTACTTGATTTTCTTTAGATTTTCTTTATGATTGATGATCTTTATGACTTTACCGATTGATGAGAATATTTTGCGGCTTTAGATCCCGATGGATGATGTTGTGCGAATGCAAGAATGAGATTCCGTTGATTATCTGAAAAATGTTGAGATTATTTTGGAATTATTAAACCAGAAATATGAAGATTTTGTCGAAAAACTTAAAATTTCTCTAAGCTCTAAATTCTCTAACTTAGATTTTGATTTAAAAACTATTTGAAATCAAAATCAAAATCAAAATCTTAATCTCCAAAAGCCAAATCAAAAGCCAATCCCGTTTTCACGAGAAATCCAAAATCTCGGCTGCTTGTTCGACCAGAAATGCTGGGAAAGAGCTTTAAAAGTCAGATTTCCGATAAAAAATGAAAATTTAGCTTATTTTCCTATATTTTCCAGTTCCAGTTAATCCAGTTATTGAAAGTTTTTCCCCTTACTTGTCTTGCCAATGTCCTTATTTGTGTCTCAGGCATATCCCTTGGAATTGTTCGCATAAAATCGTAGAGATCCCAGTCGCATTTCTCCAAAATCATCCCAATGTGCAGCTCGTGATCCTTGTTTTGCGTGGCGAAGACGTCGATCAATCTGAAATTGGAGACATGTCACTATTTCAAGTTTCTTGATTTCGTTCTTGATTGTCAAGTATATTTTGGATTTCATTCATTTCACAGGGGTCATTAATTACCCAGAATTTTCATTTTCACCGGCTTTTCATTTTCAGAAAACGCCAAAGATTGAGCATTTCTTTAAACGCTTTCTTTTGTTTTTGCAATACTTTTTCTATTGGGTTGGGGAGAATGAGTGGGCGCCGAAAATGAAAAAAATGTCTAAAACTTCTATTCGACTTCGTCAAATAATATGCGTTTGATATGAGTAGAATGGTTAACTAATTCTCTACAAAATCACATTTAAAAGAAAATTCAAACAGCGCCTCCGCTCAAGAAAAAGCCATTTTCTCACAAAAACTACAAACTGTGATCTAGAAAAAACCATTAGTGGGATCTTCCTGCAAATTTGGCAACTTAAGTAATTGAATGTGCTCTATCTTTTTTATATAAACACCAAAGAAGGTTTATGTGAAAGAAACTGTTCAAATGATGAGTCGGACTCTTTGCCATTTTAACCAGCTGCGTTTGGAAGTTCATAAACTCCACGAAAGAAAAGCTTTGTGGAATCTCTCAAAAGTGATTTTGCAGAGAAATAGTGGATCCTTTTGATGAAACCAAACGTATGTTTAAAGAAGGCTTTATGTGTGCAAAAAGTCCCTTTAAAGTTTGGCGCCGACTCATTCTCCCCAACCCAATACTTTACTTTTTCATTATCAAACGAATCAGAAAGTAACTTCACACTAAATTAGTCAAGATTTGGCTATTTTGGGAATCTTGGTTTCACATGGGTTTAACAAGAGAATGATCGAAACTGGAGCTGACGTTTCAGGATAAACTCGGAGTGCAAACACCAGTCGGATATCAGCATTCCAAATCTCTATTCAATTTTTGCTCAAATTAGAATCCTGGCGAGAAAAATGCATCTGAAGTTTCGACCATTTGCCTCTAGCCAATAACAGCGCGCTACAAGCGAGCAGAAAAGGAGCAACGGTGGCCTAGGGGATAGTGTGCCGGCTTACAAAACCCGTACCGCTTCTTGCGCTGAGTTCGAGACCCGCCATTAAAAAAGTTTTTTGTAAAACAGACAAATACCATTTTTAAGGCTATTACAGTGCTTATTGACACTAGGGAAAATTATTAATCTATCAAAAAGCTCTTTGAAAAGATTCCTTTAACATCAGCGGTATAATCTTTTTAAAATTGGACTTACTCTGTGAGATTTCGATGTTTGAATCGTTTGAACTTGACGAGGGTTGAGATTTCTCGAAGCATACTTTGCGGCACTCCCTCATCGGAGACACGAATCACCACTTTCTTCAGCGCAAACTAGAACTGATATTAGTCATTTAGAGTCAACAAAAACCCCGACTTTTGTACGATTTGCTAATCCAGGGGCTTTTATAGTATTCACGGTCTATGTAATGGTTTATGTTATCAAAAACAGCAAAAAAAACCGCTTAAATGGATGTTTTGGAGCGGATAGTCGCCATGGCGCAGTCGAGAGGACGCTAGTCTACGGCGCATATACCAGAAAACGAACATGGGCAAAGTACCGTAAAAGCTCTAATAGAGGAACGTCACGTCACGTCCGGATAGTCGCCATGGCGCAGTCGAGAGGGCGCTAGTCTACGGCGCACACGAGTCCCCTCCCTATCGCCCCCCTATGGCCCCCGCCACATCCGCGCAAGAAAAAAATGAATTTCAAAAATTCAGTCAGACGGATTTCAAAAAAAGTTTTATATTTGGAATCAGGATGCTTTTTTTACGTCGATTGGTACCTTTCCGGTTCAGAACCTATAGAAATGACTTTTTCGCGCGAATGTCCCCGCCTTCTATGCCCCCGCTCTCCCATGCGCTCCCTGTGGCCCCCCTATGGCCCCCCTATGGGCCCTCACAGGTGGTTCGATCTCCAGCTCTGCCCTGACTTTTGCTTTGAAAAAAAACGAAATATCACATGCACAACACATAGAATCCTAAGTCTAAGCAATTAAAAATCATGTAAATCGACCCACGAGCAACCGAGAACGAGAACAGACGGACGGACAGACAGACATTGCTCTTTTATATATAGTCAACTGTGTTAGAAAGGTTCTTTTAGTGCTTTACATTGCATTCCCCATTTTCAATGTAAAATACGCAGTGTTTTTAAGTCAAAAATTCCACATTTAACAATGCTTAGAGGATTTTTTAATTGGTCTTACTAAACTGATCACTTTCTAACTAAAAATAAGTCTAAATGTAATGTGTTCTGCTAGAGAATAGAAAATCCAATGCTTCAGTGCCATTGTTTCACTCACCGTTTGCCCGGTTGCTCGGTGTTCGACTTGATAAACGGCTCCGTACGCGCCTTGACCGATTAGTTTGATCTAAAAGCTGATTCTAAACGGAGTCTCTTTATTTTTCCAATATCTAAAGGCTAAATTCGATGCTTAGTTTTGTTTTTCTTGTAATTTGCATTTAAAAACGGGTTTATAATTGAGTTTTACCCTTTCTCTGACTGTTCTCACCTCTCTATATTCATCTTGGGTCCTTTGTTTCCACGGTTCGATCACATTTTGAGTCATCTTGAAAATATTGATGGAAATTTTGATGGGACAGGACAGAAAAACTGGAAAAAAAATGGCTGAATGACCTCTAAAATTTTTCTTTTCTTTAGATAGAGACGATTTGAAGGGTTTCCAAGGTTTATGTGTTCTTTGGTGCTGCACGTACTTTTTCAAATGACTGATCGAGAATGACGAGAAGAAAAGAAAAGTCGAAAAGTTTCAGGACTTTGAAACAAGTAAAAGAAAACTTTTAAAATTTGACTTTTTTGAAAGAATTTCAGGCTTTTGATAGCTTTTTAGACTAAAATTACTATTTGAAACTTTTTAAAAACCAATTATTTACTATTAGCAATTATTTATCGTATTTCACTTTTTTTTAAAAGCCAATTTACCGTATTTACCGTATTTGTATCGAAATTTTCATTAATTTATTAACAAAATTTATTAACAAAAGGTTTGACAAGTTTTTGAATGAGTATCATATTAAAATGCACAATTTTTAACTAAAAAAATGGCGAATTTTAGATCAAAAGTGCAACTGAAAGGAAAAGGTCAAATAAAAGATTGTAAAATTGCAAAAATCAAACGCAAAGATTCAGTAAATTATAAAAAAAGCCATGCAAATCAAATTTGAGCTCAATTTTTGCTAGATCTCTCAAATGAAACTTGCAACAATTATAGTGAGTCAACGAGCAATTAAAGCAACAAAGTCAGTGAAGCAATTAAATGAAATTAAAGAATTGGAAAATACTGTGTTCTCTCTAATAGTAGTGCACCGTGAGCGTGGCCTAAATTGCTCGAAATTTCGAAAAGCGCTTATCAGAACCTATCGATGTGTGATCGGAAAATATAGCTGACGATGAGATTTTGAGGGGGATTAGAGTGTTGAGCTTCTGCAAAAGCATGGAAACCGTAAAATAGCCATCAGACTCGGCCCGGCGGTGCACTACTATGAGAGAATACGGTAATTGGTTTAATGAAAAATAATTGCCTTAATGCAGTACTTGAGAATTTGATGAACAAAAAAGTAAAGTTTAAGCTTATTCTTAAAGAAAAAAGGTTGATTCTAAGGATGAATTTGTAAGCGTACACTTTCTAGATTTACAAGATCAAGGGTCAAGTGTGCTAGAAAGAAGGTGTTTCCAAAATCCAAGCGCAAAGTACACCTTAAAGACGAAATCTAGTCCCGTGTCACATTCATTTCTTTCAACCTATCCGCCAACTCATCGATTTTCGCGACTTTTCCCTTCAACGGGCTCTCAAATCGAATCCAACTATGCCCATTCTCATTCGCCCACCACGTCAGATAGCTGGCCACATCGGTTTTGATCTTGATGAAGAATTTTAATCTCTGCTGTTTCAAGACTTTCTCGATTTCCCTCATGATTTCTATGCTTGCCGGACAATTCGCTCGTATTTTCAACCTTGATGTCTCGTCTTGATCGCCGAAACGCGCAAATGACAGCGAGATTACCGTATCCACCCCGAAATTCCCGTCATTTAGCGCTTTAGCCAACGCTAGCCATCCCTTAGCCAGTTGTTGACCAATGAATTCTTTTCTTGGATTGTAGTAGTGCAGAATGAAGCTACTCCCGAGTGCTCCCGTTTCCTCAGCCAATCGCTTTTGGCCTTCAACTGTCGAGATATCTTTGTAATTCTCGATATTCCTCTCATAGTGATCCTGAACCTTTGCGCATTCGATTTTCATGTTTTGCACGAATTTCGTGGGATCTAGGCCGTTTCGACAGGGTTCCCACTCGGGATACCAACCCTTTGGCAGAGTTTTTCCGATGAAAAGAATCTTTCGGCCCATATTTGGGTCAATCGGGTTGCAAGTGAGATAGATTTTCTCTAAAGTGAGCAACTTTTGCGGACTCGTTTTCTCGAGAAATTCGCCGATTTGAAGCCGGGAATAGATGTCTTCCAATAGGGGAGCTGGCTCGTCGGGATTCATGCCTGAAATTGAGAATAATTAGGAATAATTGAGAATAATATACCAGAAAACGAACATGAGCAAAGTACCGTAAAAGCTGTAATAGAGGAGCGTCAGGTAGTCTAAGTTTTCTTTCATATACGTACCATTCCTTTGAACACTTCTCAAGAAAAGAAAAGACTAACCATCCGAAAGCAAAATCGAATGTTTTTGTACCTGTAACGCTCAAAGCACCGCTCATATCTCGGCACGCAGACATTTTTTTCTGCGCGCTTACGTATCAAATTAAAATAGGAAAGATGAGTGATTTTTTGAGATATCACACATATTTTTAACATTAACCAGCTTTTAGAAAAAATGACTGAAAAGTGGCAAAAAAACCCGATTTTTCATCATTTTTCAGCCAATTTTTCTAAGCGCTGGTTGAAGCTACAAATATATTTAATAGCTTAAAAGATCCGGTTATCTTTTTACTTTAATTTGTTACCTAAGCGCACAGAAAAAAATGTCTGAGTGCCGAGATATGAGCGGTGCTTTGAGCGTAAACTTAGACTACGCGACGCTTCTATAGGGGCCCTTCTATTAGAGCTTTTACGGCATACATAGGAATGTTTGAAAATCCAGAAAGCTAATAGACCGGTCCAGGACAGAAATAGAAAATGGATGATCTTTTCAAGTCGTATAAAGAAATGTTGCATTAGTCAGAGATCAGACATGATGAAGATGATAAAAAGATTATAAAATTGATAAAGTTAAAGATAAATATTATAAAACTGATAAAGATAAAGATAAATATTATAAAATTGGCTCATTTTGATCACCAAATAAAGCACGAAACGAAGATTGGCATGATTGAAAGATTTTAAAACCCCAGAGCCGAAGGAAAGACTTAATTTTTAAAAGAAAAGCTTCTATTAAATGATAAAAAATACAAAACACGATGAGCTTTGTAAAAAAAAAGTCATCTTTATTAAAGAAAAAGCAGAAATAGAAAGAAAGAGCGAAAAATTAGGAGCCAATTTTTTTTGTGTAATAAACATTCGATTTTGCTTACGGGGGCTTAATCTTTTCTCTTCTTCAGAAGCGTTCAAAGGAATGGCACGTATAGAAAGGAAATTTGACATAAAAATGCGAAATTGAAGCTTTTATGGGATTTGTGAAGCGAAGAAACGCAGATTTAACAGAAAATGATGCCAGATTGTCAGATTGTCAAATTCACGTATTCAAGTGCATCATTTTGATCTTTTCATTGAAATCAATCGACCAAATGACTCACTATGATTGATACTTTTAAGCAATGATCTAAAGTTATCAAGCTATCGAAAATTTCAGCTTAAAAAAGTCAACAATCCACCGACCAAGCGGCGTTCTTTGTCCACGCACATAAACGCACACTTTCTGACACACCGTCTTTGAGGGGGTCATAAAAAGGGGGCTTCGGCAAAGTGCTTTGTGACCACAAGATGGGTATTCGCAGCCACTCGCCGGTTTCCGATAACCGAAGAAAACTGTGAGGAAAGTCCCTGGACAATTTGGGCAGAGAATGTCATCCCGTAAATGGTTGAGACTCCGAAAAGGGGAATCGTCTGGGAAAAGTGACGCTCATTCAATAAAAAACAGCATAGGGATTACTCTGTGGTCTCAATTTTTGGCTAAATTTCGCTTTGGGAAGCAAAAAAACGAGGATTAATTGCGAAAATGAACTTTATTGGAAAGTCAATTAGCCAGTCAGTTAGCTAGTAGTTGAAGGCATTGAGAGATCAAATAGATTGTTGAAAGTTTGATTATCGATTATAACCAGATTTAAAGGGGTACTCCGGCCCAAGGAAAGTCAGTGTTAAATTGGGCCTGTTCTTCACGTCTTCTTAAGTCTGATTTTCAATTTTTTAAAATGATTCTTTTAGAATGTAATGTTTTCTATTAAAAAAACAACAAAATATTTAGGATTGCGGTTAAATTTGAGAAAATATATGCAAAAGAAAAGGATATAAGTACTAAAATGCAATTCGACCGAAGCCTTATAGACTTTTTCACCAAATAGCCACGTTTTAGGGTGGGATGGAAAGCAAAAATCGCGTTTTTCTTCATTTCTTGATTTGAAATCTTGCTTTTCATATAGGAAATAGTTGTAGAGGAGACTAAAGCGCATCGAATAATAAAAGACTCGAAGACTGAGCTTGAATAAAAGACGGGAAAAAGGATAGAAGGCTGGTTTTCTATTCGAAGAAATACGGTAACAAGGAAAAACGTTTTTCTATGGCTTTTTAGATGCTTTACTTTTGATTCTTTAGGCTCTTTAGGCTCATTAGGCTCTTTAGATTCTTTAGATTCTTTAGGTTCTTTAGATTCTTTAGATTCTTTAGATTTTTTAGGTTCTTTAGGTTCTTTAGATTCTTTAGATTCTTTAGGTTCTTTAGATCTTTCCTTTCCTTTCTTTCCTTCACTTTCGACTTTTACTAGGCAATTGTCGAAAACTGTCATGAATTTGTTAAAAGTAGCATTAAATTAGAACCCACTTTGCCATTTCCAAACCATTTTTCACGACAGTTTCCATTGAATGTTCATTATTTGACAATTTTGAATTGGTTATTCACGGGAAATCGATAAATACAACATTTACAACAGTGTACTGATACTCAAATCATGTAAAAAACTTTTTATATGCTTTTCTCAAACTTACAAAAGTATAATATGTACACAAATCAAATTGTGTGAGCAAAAAAAGTGAAGAAAATGAGAAAATGGCAGTGCTGAGACTAGAAAGAGAAAGAAAAACAGAAAAACAGAAAAAGAGCAAACTGATTTTCAAAATCACAAACATAAACGGAGTTTTCAATATTTAAAAGTTAGAAATTTGAAAAAGCTTTTGTAGGTTTGTAGAGAGGTTTGTAGGAGGTTGTAGAGAGGTTTGTAGTCTTTTTTTTTGAGTAAAACTATTTCTTTAATCCCTGTACAATGGATTCTCAATAAGATACGCGCATTCACTGTCGGATCGACCCAAAATTCGATGTCCACCATGGTGATGAGAGCCCGTCGAAGAGCCTGATTGACGACTACCGGCACGAGATGAATGACGAGATGAACTGAAAGATTTGTACATTGTACATTGTACATTAGACTGGGTTGTACATTAGACTGAGTTGTACATTAGACTAAGTTGTACATTAGACTGAGTTGTACATTAGACTCAGTTGTACGTTAGACTGAGTTGTACATTGTACATTGTACATTAGACTGAGTTGTACATTGTACATTGTACATTAGACTCAGTTGTACGTTAGACTGAGTTGTACATTGTACATTGTACATTAGACTCAGTTGCACATTGTACATTGTACATTAGACTCAGTTGTACGTTAGACTGAGTTGTACATTAGCTTGTAGATGATTTGCATTGATCTTTAGCACGTTTTAATCCAGTTAGTACATAGAAAACTTTCTCTTTTTCCACTTTACAATAGGCGATAAAGTTTAGAAATCAAAAGTGTTTCAGAATTCAAATTTTGCAAAGTCAAATCTATCTTCTCGGTCTCTCCGATCAGATGCAAACGATTAAAACGATTAAAGCGATTAGAAATTAGAATTTAGAATACAATAGAATACAATAGAATACAATCTTTATATGCAAATCATCTTCTTTTCTGAAATAACTGAGCTAGGCTATCCAGAAAGTCTTTTCGTTTCCTTTTCTTTTCCTTTTGTTTCCCTTTTGTCCCCCTTTCTCCTTCTTTTTAAAGCCAACAAATGCACCAATTGAATTACAGCTTATTTCATTAGAAAGCCCAATTATTTCTCTACAAAATAACATTAAACCCGCTTAAAATGTCTTATTTCTGATTTTCTTTTGGAACGTAAAACCGGATAGTCAAAAAAGGCAAATTTGACTCGAAAGGAAGACAAAGCTAAAGCTAATGCCCCACTAATCTGTTTCATTAAAGTAATGTTAACAAAAGAGATTCAGTGTTAACACAATTTAGGCTCAACAAAGAGATTTCGACACTTTTGCTAAAGAAATCTAGATGTTAATTGATAAAAGATAAAGCAAAATGGATAAAAGATAGACCTTGGTGTCAATAGATAAAAGATAGAGCATAAAAAGCTTGATGTATAGCGAAATTTTCAAAGAAATTCATTCAGCCAATTTCTTCGTAGAGGCTTTTACAGATTTTTACGAAAAACACATCCTTCCCTCTTGAATTTGTTTGAAAGTGAACCCAAATTGACATGAAATGATGGGAAATTGGACAATAAACACTTTTTATTATGATGAAACCATTGGTGAATGGTTAATTGGTGAATTTGCTATTTTTTAACGAAAGTATGGACCGAAAAGACTTTCTGGACAGCCAGCTAATGTCATTTCTTTGATCGGAACCTATCGAACGCTATCGAAAGCCTAACTTTTAGCTCGATCTGTCTGAAATACAATACGGTGCCAAGACGGTTCCAATACGGTTCCTATTTTGATCCAATACGGTTTCAATACGGTTCCAAGACGGTTCCTATTTTGATCCAATACGGCTCCAATACGGTTTCATTGCGGTTTCAATGCGATTCCAGTATTGGATTTTCAGGTTCGCTAGTGGGGAACTTTTAGTTTGATCTTTTTGAAATACTAATTGTAAATACAGCTTGAGAACATACAAAACACAAAATTGGTTGGTCTGTATCTAATCTGATATGGATGATGAGTAGCTAACCTGCTGTATCTAACTGATGGGGAGTAGCTAACCTGCTGTATCTAACTGATGGGGAGTAGCTAACCTGCTGTAGCTAACTGATGGGGAGTAGCTAACCTGCTGTATCTAACTGATGGGGAGTAGCTAACCTGCTGTAGCTAACCTGATACCGATGGGGAGTATCTAACCAGCTGTATCTAACTGATGGTGAGTATCTAATCTGCTGTATTTAACCTGCTGTATCTAACCTACTGTATCTAACCTGCTGTATCTAATCTGATACTAGTCGTGAGTATCTAACCTGCTGTATCTATCCGGATAGGCGGGTTCCCATGTGATCGTTTCAACGAAAGGGCTAATCGGTCGACCATCGTGAATCGAGACAAGTCTTTTCTTTGTGATCACCTGAAAAAACATGATCTCAAAAGATGGAAACGAAGTCGAAAAATGGTTAGCCGACTTCTTTGCCTCAAAATAAGCCAATTTTTGCCGTTGCAAGGAAGATTGAAAAAAAAGATTGTTAACAGATGGTGAATATATTGTTGTTTGGGCTGTTAAACTCTTACTTTTAAAATAAAGAGTTAAAGAAAGAGTTATTAAATAAAGATTCTCTTACAAAAGCGCATTTACAAAGGAAAAACCTAATATCTCATTTCACTGAAAAACTCAAAAACCTACTGTGGTTGCTGTGCTTGCTGTGCTTGCTGTACTTGCTGTGATTGCTGTGCTTGCTGTGCCTATTAAACGGCTTAAACTTTCTGTGCCCTTTCTTTACAAGCCAAAACGAATTGACTAGATTTGTGCAACGAAATTCCCCAATTTCTCACCTTTTTCATCGGAATCGCTGATTGACTTCCAACCGATCCTCCACTTGCATTGCTTCTCGGCGAGATTGGACCCGATCGAACGGATCTCGGGGAAATCGATCGCCGCTCACCGACATCAGCCACCAATTCGTCTGAAAGCTTGTCTACAATGTCTACAATGTCTACAATGGCCAACAATGGCCAACAATATATAGCTAACAATATAGTTGTTTCTTTTCAAACCTCCATAATAGAGACTTCGCGGGCTTTTTGGGCTTCTCGGTGATGGGGTGTTCTTTTTGAGCTCGATTCTCGGGATCGACAATGGTCGGAGGGGTTCAACGGGTCGAAGAAGGTCTACAAAAAGTAAAGAAATTTAGAAAACTGGAAACTAGACTGGAAATTGATGTTTTTTGCGTACCAGAGTTTGCCAGCTCTCCCACGGGCATCACTGGAGAGACTGGAGAGACTGGGCGGACGGGCTCGGATGGCTGAAAATTAGATATTTTGCTAGTATGAAGAGAAAAAGGCAAAATAAAGCATCAAGTTTTGTATGTGGCATAGAACAGCTCAAGCATAGAAATTTGGGTACTTCTTTAGTATCGGGTAGATTGGTATGTTGGTATGTTGGCTAAAGGTTCAGGGGACGTCCCCAAAACCGGCAAACTACCTTTGCCCAAGTGACATCAGATTAGGCTGAATTAACAAGAGTTTGGTGTATTTATCCTAGCCTGATGTCAGCCTGATGTTTGGCAGAGGTCTTTAACGTCAAAACTCTGCTCAAAACTGATCAAAAACTGACACCAGGCTGACATCACTGACATCTACTCCCCTCCGATAATTGGCTACCTCCTCCTCCACGATACTAAAGATCTATTCGATCAACTCGTGATTAATTCGATCAATGCTTGATGAATTCGATCAATTCTTGATGAATTCTATCAATTCTTGATCAATTCGACTCGGATTTAGGCAGCGAACGAAGCTCTAAGGATAAGTCCAGCTTCAAGGAAAAGTGCGCACCGTATCGTATTGAATTGATGAATTCTTGAACAATTCTTGAACAATTCGATGAATTCTTGATCAATTCTTGAACAATTCGATCAATTCTTGATCAATTCTTGATCAATTCTTGAACAATTCGATGAATTCTTAATCAATTCTTGATCAATTCGATCAATTCTTAATCAATTCGATCAATTCTTGATCAATTCTTGAACAATTCGATCAATTCTTGATCAATTCGATCAATTCTTGATCAATTCTTGATCAATTCTTGAACAATTCGATCAATTCTTGATCAATTCTTGATCAATTCGTTGAATTCTTGATCAATTCTTGATCCATTCTTGATCAATTCGATCAATTCTTAATCAATTCGACTCCGATTTAGGTAGCGGACGAATGAGTCCAGCTGTAAGGAATTATAACGATTATCCGAGCGCCATATCGTTAAAGAGCTCAAAAACTTTCTAAAATCCACCTAGAAAAGCTCATTTTGAGTTCATTGCCAAGCGAAATGGTGTTCGTTTCCAAGCTCTCCCCAACCCCCATCAACCTCTTTCCCCTTTTCTCTTTCCTTTTCTCTTTCCCTTTTCTCTTTCCCTTTTCTCTTTCCCTCGAGTGTTTACGCGAACAAACATTTGCCCCTTTCCAAGCGCTTCTCATTTTCTTATTCACATCAATCACAAGTACAATCCCGCATTTCTTTTGAATTGACTCACGACTAGTTTTTCCCATTCTCACTCTTGATTCACTCTCAATTCGACCCCCGTTCTTCTTTGTTTTGAAAGAAGAAAAACATAAAACATGATGGAGAAATGAAAGATCTTATTCATGAATGTCAGTAGTTCTGATCTGTTCTTGAGAATAAATAAAAGTAACTAGAAACTGGGGAAGTTTTTAGTTACTTTTATTTAGTGAATCAACGAATCAATTTGACTCAATCAAGATCGATGTTTGATTCTTCCTGAAAACTACAATAAAATAATATTTGTAAATAAAGAAATAAAGAAATAACTAAATAACTAAATAACTAAATAAATAAATAGCTAAATAACTAAATAAATAACTAAATAAATAAATAAATCAAATTTCTAATTGAATAATATCTAGAATTTAGCTAAACTAGCAAACTTTCGCATTTTAGAAGTCGTTACATGGCTTTTCATGGCGTTACATGGTCGTTACATGACTCTTTAACAATTCTAACGCTAAGATTCCTATATCCTTAGCCTGATCCCTTATCAATTCTTCTCTTCACTGCTAAAAAAGTTGTTCTCTAAGCGATTTCCGAGAAAAAAGCCCGAACTCTGAGAGTAAATATACAGAAAAGATCGTTTCAGAGAAAAGGTTTTCTAAAAGAATGGGGGAAAGGGAAAACTTGAGTAGTCGTTGAATCAGAAAAGTTGAGGAGTGAAAAAGAAGCGAAAAGAAGCGAAAAGAAGCGAAAAGAAGCGAAAAGAAGCGAAAAGAAGCGAAAAAAATGAGAAGATCAATGAGAATTCTTTACTTTTAAGATCAAAAAGGATTGAAAATCGATTACCAGTTCTTGCTGCCAAAGATTGACTAGTTTCTCGTGTACTTTGAGCTAAAGGAATGGAAACTGGGGCAAAGAATTTCATTTTCTCTCAGTGATCGGTGCACTATAAGGATTTGTGGTACAATTTTGAACTTTTCTAGTGCACTAAATCATTGCACTTGTCATTTTCTCGCAACACCGATTGTCACTCAGCAAAATTGGGTAATCAGCGTAAAGGTTTACAAAAATTTGATGCGCACAAAGTGAGCAAGAAGATTGAACTGTGTTTAGCCAAGGAAGCTTTCAAAAGCTTAGCTCTAGCTTGTTGACAAGCTCTAGGTTGTTGACAAGCTCTAGGTTGTTGACAAGCTCCAGGTTGTTGACAAGCTCTAGGTTGTTGACAAGCTCTAGCTTGTTGACGAGCTCTAGCTTGTTGACGAGCTCTAGGTTGTTGACAAGCTCTAGCTTGTTGACAAGCTCTAACTTGTTGACAAGCTCTAGCTTGTTGACAAGCTCTAGGTTGTTGACAAGCTCTAGCTTGTTGACAAGCTCTAACTTGTTGACAAGCTCTAGCTTGTTGACAAGCTCTAGGTTGTTGACAAGCTCTAGCTTGTTGACGAGCTCTAACTTGTTGACAAGCTCTAGTTGCTCCTGTTGCGCTCATTTTGAGCTCGAAAAACGCAAACACACAAATTTTGGTCCATGAATCATCAAATATCACGAGAAGACAAGGAATTCAGCGCCCCGGAAAAGTGGGGCTTCTGTTTTCGAAGTGAGCTATCTCTTTGCTTTGACTTTGAAAGAGACAAAGATAAAGAACTTCCAAACTCACATTTTTTTCCACTTTCACAACAATATCTCCATTCTCGTCTCGTCCATAAGTTCGCCTCTCAGTGTACTGCTTTGAGCTGAGCTGTCTTTGAGGCTAAATGGAAGAGTATGTTGTACACATGGTTATCGGATCGGATCGGATCAGAACGGATCCGGATCAGATCCAATAGGTCCGACCAATCGGGCTCGCTCAATCCGATTCGATCTGTCCAACCGATTAGGCTAGCCAGATCTGATCTGATCCATTCAACCGATTAGGCTAGCCAGATCTGATCTGATCCATTCAACCGATTAGGCTAGCCAGATCTGATCTGATCCATTCAACCGATTAGGCTAGCTCAATTGTTTTGTGAAACGTGAAATCTCTTTTTCGAATTTATAAACAGCTGAATCAATTGAACACTTCGAGAACACTCAATTTGAGTTCTAAACGAGAAGCTCGAGTTTTTTTAGAAATTTAAAGCTGAGATAAGAGATAACACATTTTCGCTCGGTCGAATCGATCGGACTAGTCCGATCCGATTTGATTTTGCCAAGAAAAAAACCATACTATGTCTTTCAAAAGCTTTTTTAGTACAAATGAAAGCTTTTTGGGAGTTGGCTTTCATGCTGTTTGTCGATTTTTCTGTCTACTTTTCTGTCTACTTTTCACGATGACCATCTTTTTACCTCCGAGCTCTCGGTTCCATGAATCTTCCTCTCGTAAGTCTCAACCGTGTGCGATTCTTCGGAGCCAATCTTCTGAAATTTTGAACCTTTTCCATCACTTAGATGAAGCAAAAGTCGACAAAAGTAGTTTTTTTGTCTTTAAATCTTTTTCTTTATTAATTTGAAGCTTCAGCTTGGGCAATTTAAAGCTTCAGCTATTTGAAATTTAGAAATTCATAGATCTTTGGCTAACAAAAAGAAAAATAGAGTTTCCTGCAACGAGTTTGACTCAAATGCGGAGCTTGTATCGCTTTTTTTGTCATTTTTTTTCAATCTTATGGATCTTTTATGACTTAAAACGAGAAGTTTCTCATGGGGAAATTGAGTTACCGTAAATACTGTAATGGAAACCTGGGCCTGGGAGAAACCTGGGTCCAGCTGATTAGTTGGCTGCTGAGTCCAGCTAGTCTAGCTTTGAACGTGTTTCTCTCGACACTGGTTTATGCTACAATGCGCGCTTAGGTATCAAAAAATAGCTGAAATTCAGGGCTATTTTTTGATGCCAAAGACGCATTTTTTGAAAGTACGGGCGCTTTGATAAAAATGAAATACTAAAAAAAACTTTTGCGACTTTTGCGACTACGCGACTGTACGAGGGCGGTGGGGTACTATTACAGTATTTACGGTATATGTTTTCATCTGAATTTTCATCTGAATTTGATCATTCTTTTACCTGAAAAGTGCCTCCAGTATACGGTTTGACTTCCATAATCATTGAAAAGAAAACAAATTCACAGAAATATTAGAAAATATTCAATATTCAATCTCAGGGTTCAGGAGAATGCTGAGGCGATGAGTAAATGCTGAAAAATGCTGAAAAGATCTGCTAATAGAAAAAGAGAGAAAAGAGAAAAGGAGAAGAGAAAAGGAGAAGGGAAAAGGAGAAGAGAAAAGGAGAAGAGAAAAGGAGAAGAGAAAGGAGAAGAGAAAAGGAGAAGAGAAAAGGTTTGCCCTACTCCGACGGGCAGGGGAAATGCTGGGTAAACATCGAGGAAAAGATTCAGAAAGATTCAGAAAGATTCAGAAAATAGAGAAAAATCGAGGGAAATGGTTGAAGAAAGAAAATTGTGCGTGTCAAGCTCTCTCTCCCAATCAACATTTTTCTGCACTTCTTTTTCCGCGCATCGATGCGCCAACACGTGTGCGTTGAGTGGCCCTTTTTAAGGCCCTTAATTTGATGATGATGATTGACAACAAACGTACACAAACACACACACACACGCAATCACTGACCATCACTCAGATCTCGACGGCTTTATCGAAAAAACGTTGACCAGTCCTCTTGATTTATCCGTTTTCTAAAGTGTCCCAACTTTCTCGACTACCGTAATCTTGTAACTTTTATCAGTACCAGTTATCAGCTGATACAATACCTTGCTAAGTATCACAAATAGTACATAAGTACTAGTTGATAGTATAAGTAGTGATGCAAAAGGGGGACGCGAATAAAAGAAACGCTCTACCTCCTTTGCCTTTGGCAATCTAACTTTGAGTTTAAATATCTTGGCTTTGGGCTGCTCAATTTAACTGTTCTTGGTATCATTGGATGCGCCAAGTCTTTCTCTTTCGATTGATACAAAAACTATTTAAATTGGACAGCTCAACACGAAGATATTTGAGCTCAAAGTTGGATTGGCAAAAGGAGCGGGATCAGAAAGTCCTTTTATACGCGCCCGGCTCTTTTGCCTTTGGCAATCTAACTTTGAGCTCAAATTTCTTGGTGTTGAGCTGTCCAATTTAAATAGTTTTTGTACCAATCGAAAGAGAAAGACTTGGCGCATCCAATGATACCAAGAACGGTTAAATTGAGCAGCCCAAAGCCAAGATATTAAAGCTCAAAGTTAGATTGCTAATGGCAAAGGAGGCGGGGGCCTATCAAATGTCCCACAATCCTATAGATAGCTGCTGAATCAAAAGCTGACCTAATATTCTTCAACTCTTACAGAATAACCAAGAATTTGAGCTTGTTTAATCTGTTATATTATACAAATAATTATCAAAACTTTCTAGGTTTGGACCGACGGCAAAGGCAAAGGACGGAACAGGGGCGTTCGTCTCGTCTTCCAGACATTGGAGTTGAACGGATAGCGACACTAGGTGTCTAGCTGGCCATTTCCATACGTGGCAATCTCGATCACGAGATCGTCACGACACCTTTCTACCGTAATCTTTTCTCTATTTTTACCCAATCCATCTACTTTTTTTTATCTTTCGATATCTTTTGTTACACCTACCAGAGAAAGAGGACACGGCTTAGAAAGAGGTTATTGGACATTTGTAATCACATACAGTAAAAAGTCACAGAATTAAACGAAAAAGTCGATGGATTAAATAAAAATTGAGATAAGATTACGGTAGAAAGGTGTCGTGACGATCTCGTGATCGAGATTGCCACGTATGGAAATGGCCAGCTAGACACCTAGTGTCGCTATCCGTTCAACTCCAATGTCTGGAAGACGAGACGAACGCCCGAGTTCCGTAAAAAAGCAATGTGAACGAGCTGCCGAGGTGTGTGCCGTGGAGTGCCTCTACTCTCCCAATGTCAAACCACTGAACCAACTATTATTTCTGTAATAAAGATTATATCTAAACCAACAATAATCACTACAAAAGGGGATATGATTTAGAAAATGCAGAGAGAACCAAGAATCTATTCTCTAGAATCTGAGAACTCGGTAGTTTGATAGCTTTGATTTTGATTTGATGGCTTCAAAGAGTCAAAGTAATGCTAAAGATTTCAAATACAATAAATTTGTTCCTCTAATAACCAAAACTCAAATCAAATTCAAAATTTGATCCTCTAACAACCCAAATTGCAATTCTAAAAGAAAACTTTTACTGAGAAATCAACGAAACTGGCAAAAAAGGATTGAAATGTCGGTCTAACCATAGAAGCTATAGATAAATAAAGTTAAAGTAAAGTTAAAGTAAAGTTAAAATAAACGTTTTAACAAGAAGAGCTTCTTGAAATCGATTTGGAAAAGGTTTTGGAAGCGTTTAAGCGGAAAATTCCCTTAAATCAATTTTCTTTTATTGGGTTGGTGAATTGAAAACTGCGGGCTATTGTCAAATGTGAAAGTTTGAGCACTTTCTTCAAAAGAAACCCATTTTGGTGTCAATGGAAAAGTTGTAGAGAATCAAAAATCAAGCTTATATCCTAATTTTCAGAACGATTCAAAAACTGCTTTTCAAGAAATGCCAAATTTAAGAAAGAAATGCCAAATTCTCACAAAACTTGCATTTTAAGCGAAACTACTGAGTGTATCTTTTTGGAAATTTGGCTATAAGCCTAATTTTTGATTCTCTACAACTTTTGTATTGACACCAAAATGGGTTTCTTTTGAAGAAAGTGCTCAAACTGGGACCTCTAGTCTCCATCTCCAGTCCTCCATTTTTGAGTCTCACACTTGTCTCACACACAAACCAAAATCCTACTACGAAAGAGTCAGGTGTACTGGGAGTTGCTGGATAGCAAGACGACCGTTAATGCAATCACATATAGTGAACAGTTGGGAAGTTCTGGATCATGAGTAATGAGCCTGAAGAATAGGCCCTTCAGGTCAAAGATCGTTCTCCTTCACGACAACGCGCGCCCTCATGTTGCAAAACTGACTCGCTCCAAAATAAACAGCCTTGGTTGGGCACTTTTGGCAGTTCCCCCATACAGTCCGGACCTTGCCCCTTCTGATTACGATTTATTCCGGACCATGAGTAATGAGCTCGCGGGAGAACACTTTGATTCGGAAGAAGTAGTCAAAAATTGGCTTTGAAAGTTTTTCGATTCAAAACCAAAATCCTACTACGAAAGAGGAATCCGCAAATTGCCTGTAAAATGGGCAGAAGTCGTCAATAATAATGGGATTATAATAATGGAATTATAATAATGGAATATTTCGAATGAATTCATGGTTTTATGTTGAATAAATTTTAGTTCAAAGTCCCGTTTAGTCCCGCAGTTTTCAATTCACCAACCCAATACATTGGAAAGGCAAGAGAAAGAGGCATTTGACTAGAAAAGGCTGACTAATCGAAAAGAATTTGATTGGCTGGCTAATCGAAAAGAAAAGTTTTAGAAGTCGTCATTTTCTGAATGAATTTCTCGATTACACGAAAGAATTCGGTGTTGAATTCGGTGTTTTTGTAGGAAGACAAGGAAATGTTTGATCTTTTCGTTGAGGAAAAGATCAAGGGGGGAAATGAGTGATTTGTGTCTGTTACACGGAACAAGAAAAATGAGAAAACACAAACAAAAAAAAGCCGGAAAAGCGCCGCGGGTCTTCGCTTTTCTCTAATAGTTTTAGACAAAGATGGCACTTTTTTTTCTTGTAATCCATTTCCACTCAAGGAAACACATTTCGGTCCATCAACAGATCGGTCCATCAACACTCAACAAGTCCATCAACACTCAACAAGTCCATCAACAACGACTCAACAAGTCCATCAACAAGTCCATCAACAACGACTCAACGAGTCCATCAACAATTGTGTTGCACTGGCATTTTGGCTCGAGATTAACGCTTCTATTGCTATTAGTTTAATATTTGGGACTTTTGAGGTGATTTTGATTCAATAGTTGAATATTTATGGGGACGCAGCTTAGGCTCAAAGGCTCAAAGGCTTAGGCTCAAAGGCTCAAAGGCTCAAAGGCTTAGGCTCAAAGGCTTTGAAAGCTTGAAGGCTTAGGCTCAAAGGCTTAGGCTCAAAGGCTTTGAAAGCTTGAAGGCTTAGGCTCAAAGGCTCAAAGGCTTAGGCTCAAAGGCTTTGAAAGCTCAAAAACCATTATTGTTATTGTAAAACCGTAAAACTGTTATTGTAAAACCCAATTTGCGAACAACTTCTTGGTAAATGAAGAACGGAAGATAGAAGAAACAACCAGACAACAACAAAAACAATGGAACCCATTCAGTCTCAAAATCAGAGATTGAAAAAGGAAGAAAAGGAAAGAAAAATTTAATTTTATCTTTATTCTTAGACGATTAGATTCGAAAACCCTAAATAACTGAGTGGCTTGAGAAATTAGATTTGAAAAAGCTTTAAAACCATTGATTTTTAACCATTAACTCATTGCGACTAGTTTGTTGGGTTTTATTTTAAGAATCCTGAAGAAAGTGGTGAGGTAAAAAGGAAATGGAGGGACTGAAAAGAAAGTTAAAGCTTATCTGATAAAGTATGAAGAAAAATCGTGAAGAAAGCAGTGTATAGAAGTTAGAATAAACTCGAATTTCTACATTATTTTTACAGTTTACTCAATTTGATATTACAAAATAGCAAAAATCGATTCATCACTCGATCACTAAATTTCAGGAGTCAGATTCCAATTGTTTTTGTTTAACAAAAGTCTTCACTATTTAACAGTTTTCAAATTTACGAGACATTAAAAATGTTAGAATCACATTTTAGTTTTGATTCTTTTAAGAAAAATTAGCATAAATTTGTTTATCCGACCTATAGTAGGTGCTTTCCATAAGCATTTCTAAGCAAGCAACAGCACAAAAGTCAATAATTTTTTGAAAAAAAGTACTGTATTTCCTCTAATAGTAGTACACCCCGGCGAGCCGAGTTGGTGACTATTTTACGGTTTCCAAGCTTTCGCGGAAGCTCAACATTCAAATCCCCCCACTAGATCTCATCGTGAGCTACATTTTCCGACCCCACATCGATAGGTTCTGATAAGCGGTTCTCGAGATTTCGAGGAATTTAGGCGACGCTCAGGGTGCACTACTATTATTGAAAATACGGTAACTTAAAGGGAGGGGGGCCCTCCGGGGTAACAATCGGGGGAGGCCCTCCGGGGTAACAATCGGGGGGGGAGGCCCTCCGGGGTAACAATCGGGGGGGGAGGCCCTCCGGGGGTAACAATCGGGGGGGCCCTCCGGGGCAACAATCGGGGGGGCCCTCCGGGGTAACAATCGGGGGGGCTCCGGGGTAACAATCGGGGGGGGGGGCCCTCCGGAGTAACAATCGGGGGGCCTCTATTTTTTCTCTTTCGAGGATATCGTTGTGGCGGTAAAATTTATTTCCGTCCACTGACTGTTTCTCCCTTTTTCGGTAGTTTTTCCATCAGCTTACAAAGGTGACAATGTTGAAGAAGCAATTCCAGCTGTTCGAATTCTGCCAGACGATACTTGGGCTTCGAGACAACTTCCTCCTCATTGTTTAATCTAAAATGAAACTTTTATAAACTATAAAACACATATAAAAGCACCAAAAACACCAAAAACCAAAAGAAAATAAAGAATTCAGAAAAAAACCTAAAAGATTGGCGACGCGAAATGTGAATAAACTCTATTTTGAGCTGAAATTCATTTTGTCAATTCATTTTTATCATTTCCAGCAATAAATCTAACAAATAAACACGATGAAATAAATGAATTTTCTCAAGAAAAAATGATTTTATTGAGAATAGGCCACGATTTTTACCCTAATTTAAAGTTAAGGTTGTTGTTGTTGTTGTTGTTGTTGTTGTTGTTGTTGCTGTTGTTGTTGTTGTTGTTGTTGTTGTTGTTGTTGTTGTTGTTGTTGTTGTTGTTGTTGTTGTTGTTGTTGTTGTTGTTGTTGTTGTTGTTGTTGTTGTTGTTGTTGTTGTTGTTGTTGTTGTTGTTGTTGTTGTTGTTGTTGTTGTTGTTGTTGTTGTTGTTGTTGTTGTTGTTGTTGTTGTTGTTGTTGTTGTTGTTGTTGTTGTTGTTGTTGTTGTTTACATTTAGCGTATTGATAAGTGCGTTTCCTTTTTAGCATTAAAATTTATATACAAAACTTATACAGAATTTTCACCTAAAGTGCCAAATTCGCCAATTTTGAATTTAAACTTTTGCTAGCAAAATGGAAATGTTTACTTGCCGGAAATGCTTTATTTGTCAATGCTATGTGTACAATTGAAAGAGCCACATGCAAAGATTCGACACAATTTATCCATATGGTGCATTTGGTGACGGTGAACTCGAGACCACGGTCACCACTTGGCGCCTCCATTCCCAGTTCGGGGTTTTCTTGAAATCGACACATCCTTGGCATTCACAGTATAGAGCACCGTTGCCACAGTAGCCTGCAATGGGATGAGTTGGAGCGGATTTATAACAATGTGGCGAATCGCCGCTACAAGTTGGGGAATTGTATTCAAACCAGCCGAAAAACCCGCCTAACAGCTGGTTTAACAGCTGATTTTTCTCGCTAGATGCTTTGGGGAAACTTTGTCGCCGTGGCGTTGCCGGAAGCGCGCTTGTCTACGGCCCACAAGGTCCGGGTTCGACCCTCGTAGTGCTACTCAATTTTAATTTTCTCTTTGAAATGACTAACTACAATATATTCTAAGGTTTTCTGAAGAAGTTTTAGCTTTATTGGGCAAAACATGGCAAAATGCCCGTACAGACAGATAGACAGATGGACAGACGGACAGACAGACAAACAGACAGACAAACAGATAGACAGACAGACAGGAAAACAGACAGGCAAATAGACAGACAGACAGATGCACAGCCAGAAAAACAGACAGGCAAATAGACAGACAGACAGATGCACAGACAGACACTGTTCTTTTATATAGAGTCGATTACGTCTCCATTTTTTTCCCCAATACAGTAGTCTCCCCAAGTTCAACTGAATATCTTTGCGTAGACGTTTTTTCCCATTTAAGCTGTGAAATCTTCTTTTCAATTGTTGCAAGTTATATCCACACAATAGTAAAGTTTGTTTTCCCGTTGCCTCTTGCTTGTGAAAAGTGTAAAAGTTGCCTAATTTGTTCAAGTTTCATCTCGTCTGCAAGTTGGCATAAAAGTGCGGTATTTTCCAGATTTAAAATACATTAGAGAGAGCAATAGCTTTAAACAAGGAAAATAGCTGGCTCTAAATAGCTGGCTCTAAATAGCTAGCTCTAAATAGCTGGCTCTAAATAGCTGGCTATAGTTAAGAGTACAAAGCCTAGCAGAGAAATATTTCTTACAGACGGATTGGTCGAGGTAGATAAGCCAAGATTAAACCAGACCAGGATATTCTAACAGGTAAATCTAAGAGGTAGATCTAACAGGTAAATCTAACAGGCAGATCTAACAGATAAATCTAACATTTTGTACCTGATTGACTGCAACATGGCGCATTTGAGTCCGGATCACATTTTGGAGTCTTGCCACTCGGCAAAACTGGAGCACCGGGGCCACACTTGCCTAGAAAACGGTCGAGTAGGTGGAAAATAGCAAGAGCAAGGTCTTTACCAAGAGCAAGGTCTTTAGCAAGAGCAAGGTCTTTAGCAAGAGCAAGATCTTTAGCACTCACCAATGTGATTCGAGTTCTCGGCGAACGTCCACCACTGAACCGGTTTCCAGTGATAGTCAGGGGTTTTCGAGAAATCGACGCAACCCTGGCACTCACAGTGTTCCTAAATTGATGCTTATGTAAATTAGAAGATCTTTCTCTACCTTTGTTGATCCACAGTAACCCCCATTTGAGCAACATTTAGCACTTGGATCATCCGGATTGCAAGTGGCCGGTCCTCCATCCAAATGTGGAGCCATTGGGCCACAACGACCACGTCGACCCTCGCCGGATGCAAGCGTATACCTAATGGACTTGAATTTTCCTGGCAACTCTTGGTTAAAGGTGTTTTCTAAAGGGTTTTCAGGAAAAGCTACCGTAGTCGAGTTTAAGCACTTTAAGCAGTGTGATCTTTAGCTTTAAGACTTTAATCGGTGTTAGATCTTTAGTAAGACTTTAAGCAGTGTTAGATCTTTTAGCTTTAAGACTTAAGCAGTGTTAGATCTTTAGCTTTAAGTCTTTAAGCAGTGTTAGATCTTTAGCTTTAAGACTTTAAGCAGTGTTAGATCTTTAGCTTTAAGTCTTTAAGCAGTGTTAGATCATGCGTCTTGCTCTTCACTTGTGGAAGAGTGGGTAAAAAAGATGAGCTATCGTAATCCCTGGAAATTACGGTTACTATTACTATTATCCTCGGAAAGCCATCGAAACATTGCTCGTCTGTACAGTTGACGGAACCGAAGACACAATTACGCTATTACGCTATTGCTATTACGATTTCTTTGCGATCAAGATTCCGATTACGATTATGGATTACGATTGCTTTTCTTTGAATCTTTAAAGTCCTTTTAACATGACTAATTGCTTTCTAATCCAGCCTGCCTACCAACCAAGTCACTTTTCTCTCTGGCCGAATCGGTTCTTTGAGGATCAACGACGGATCGGCTCCATAATCGACACAACTTGCACAGCCGCAGAACTCAGGTCCCGACCCACAATAACCGTATTTCCCACAGCAAGCGTGTCCTAAAAGAAATTGATAGCTTTTTCTGTATTTGATTCGATTGCTGACTTCAAGGAGCTTTAGTAAAAACAGGAAAGCCTCGGAAAAGAGTCGGACTTTTCACTTTAAGACTTTAAGCACTTTTAGCAGTGTTAGATCTTTAGCTTTAAGACTTTAAGCAGTGTTAAATCATGCGTCTTGGTCTTCACTCGTGGAAGAGTGGGTAAAGTAGAGTCATTATCGATTATTCACTAATTCATTTAACAACCTGGATCATCCGGATCGCACACTGGATAATAATCATTGTAGAGAGGAGCCGAGCGGCCACACATCCCAGCATGTTCCTGAAATTTGTTTATAACATTGCATTGGCGTTGGATAGGCTTTCTAAACCATCTCCTGGCTACCATGCCAATCTTTCTTTTATAAATACCTTTGTAAACATTTACCCAATCTGTCTATATCAGCTAGTTCCCCATCTTTGCGACAACCCAGATTACGGTAGGTATGGTCTACTGTAACCGGTTTAACTGACTGACCGGTTTATCCTCAAAAGTCCACCATCGTTGATCGTCGACCGGTGAGCACTTGTAGGGGAACTCTTTCTTGAATGGACTTGTGCAGATCTCACCGCCCGTTGCTGCCTAAAAAGCTCATTATCGAATTTCTTATTAAATTCGCTCGTTCAAATTCCGTTGTACCTGTAAAAGTGAGAGTTTTTCATCATCGAAATCAATAGCCCAAATCATCACCCCGCCAATGTTTCGCTCTTTAATGTAGTGAATCTGAAAGTCGAAATTTTAGCCCTATGCTTTTCGGGGTACGATATTTGAGTCAGTTTGAGTCAGTCAGTCAGTCAGTCAGTTACGCCTATAGACTCTGTCAAAAATGATAGACGCATCCTGTTTTCGCTAGTTTTCAGTGTTAACCCAGTGTTAACCCAGTGCTAACCCAGTGCTAACCCAGTGCTAACCCAATGAAAAATCTTTTTTTGGTTTCTTTAACGTCAAAAAAATCCCATGCCGAATTTGTACGTTTCTGTACGTTTCTGTACGTTTCTGCATGTTCCTGCACGTTTCTGTACGTTTCTGTACGTTTCTGTACGTTTCTGTACGTTTCTGCATGTTCCTGCACGTTTCTGTACGTTTCTGCATGTTCCTGCACGTTTCTGTACGTTTCTGTACGTTTCTGTACGTTTCTGTACGTTTCTGCATGTTCCTGCACGTTTCTGTACGTTTCTGCATGTTCCTGCACGTTTCTGTACGTTTCTGTACGTTTCTGCATGTTCCTGCACGTTTCTGTACGTTTCTGCATGTTCCTGCACGTTTCTGTACGTTTCTGCATGTTCCTGCACGTTTCTGTACGTTTCTGTACGTTTCTGCATGTTCCTGCACGTTTCTGTACGTTTCTGCATGTTCCTGCACGTTTCTGTACGTTTCTGCATGTTCCTGCACGTTTCTGTACGTTTCTGCATGTTCCTGCACGTTTCTGTACGTTTCTGCATGTTCCTGCACGTTTCTGTACGTTTCTGCATGTTCCTGCACGTTTCTGTACGTTTCTGCATGTTCCTGCACGTTTCTGTACGTTTCTGCATGTTCCTGCACGTTTCTGTACGTTTCTGCATGTTCCTGCACGTTTCTGCATGTTCCTGCACGTTTCTGTACGTTTCTGCATGTTCCTGCACGTTTCTGTACGTTTCTGCATGTTCCTGCACGTTTCTGCATGTTCCTGCACGTTTCTGTACGTTTCTGCATGTTCCTGCACGTTTCTGTACGTTTCTGCATGTTCCTGCACGTTTCTGCATGTTCCTGCACGTTTCTGTACGTTTCTGCATGTTCCTGCACGTTTCTGTACGTTTCTGCATGTTCCTGCACGTTTCTGCATGTTCCTGCACGTTTCTGTACGTTTCTGCATGTTCCTGCACGTTTCTGTACGTTTCTGTACGTTTCTGCATGTTCCTGCACGTTTCTGTACGTTTCTGTACGTTTCTGCATGTTCCTGCACGTTTCTGTACGTTTCTGCATGTTCCTGCACGTTTCTGTACGTTTCTGCATGTTCCTGCACGTTTCTGCATGTTCCTGCACGTTTCTGTACGTTTCTGTACGTTTCTGTACGTTTCTGTACGTTTCTGCATGTTCCTGCACGTTTCTGTACGTTTCTGTACGTTTCTGCATGTTCCTGCACGTTTCTGTACGTTTCTGTACGTTTCTGCATGTTCCTGCACGTTTCTGTACGTTTCTGTACGTTTCTGCATGTTCCTGCACGTTTCTGTACGTTTCTGTACGTTTCTGCATGTTCCTGCACGTTTCTGTACGTTTCTGTACGTTTCTGCATGTTCCTGCACGTTTCTGTACGTTTCTGCATGTTCCTGCACGTTTTCTGTACGTTTCTGTACTTTGGTTGGTTGAAATGATGCTAGTTTTTTGCGATAAAGGAACTAGAAAACACTTTCTAACATAATAGTTGCCATGACGCGCTCAAAACTGACAAAAAAACATGGTGCGTCTATGATTTTTTGACAGATTATGTGATATCACAGTTACTGTACTCATATCATTTGTTCTTCAAACGCCAGCCACTTTCAAAGTCGACCAAAATACGGTAGCAAAAGGTTTGGAATTGGTGGAATTGGTGGAATTGGTGGAATTGTAGTGCTTGGCTTAGACTGAACCAATTTCTCTGAATACCTTATAAGATAAACTATTCGCATCCTCGTATCCGACAAAAGTCGCATTCTCAGGCATCCAAATGAAAGGAGTCTTCGATCCTTCATGGAAACGAGTACGCGACATCTCGAAACGGCCACCAATTTGACGCCATTGCACATCACCACCCTAAAAAAACATAAAGCAATCTAAATCTTTTAGATTTGTAAATATGTTTTGTGGCTTTGTGGCTTTTTAGCTCAATTATCTGCTTTCAACGTCGACAATTTTCAAATTTTACAAATTTTCGTCAATTTCAAACTATTTTCGTCTTTAAACTTGTGTGATTGCTTTTAGAATTTGAAAATTTCTTTGCTCCAGATCCATCTGAGCTTGCGTCTCTGAGCATCTGAGCTTACGCTCACCTCAAATTTGTTATCTCCTTCAATCGGTTTCGCCGTTCTCCACATGTCATCACCGGGTGCAACAGCTTCGCCAACATTGTGCCAAAAACGACCATAGAATGGGACACCCATATTTATCTAGAAAGTATTCAATTTTTAAGACTTTTAAAAGGTTTTGTTGATCAAAGAGTTTAGTCCTTATCGTTCTTTTTCTCTTTTCATGAATTCAGCGAGATACACTACTGGACAATGAAATGAACAATGAAATGAACACTACTGGACAATGACAATGAAATTGAGATGTGACAAAACGTCGTGTCGGACAGCAATCGGCCTGCGTGTTGGCTCATAGATGGAGAGCATCAGAATTCCGTTTCTCACATCTATGGATAGATTCACGTCACGGCACGGCACGTCATTTCCTATCGAGCTACACTACTGGACAATGAAATATCATATTTGAAAAAAGGTCGTCACTTTCGCGCGTCTATAACTTCCTTGTCTTTACCGTATTTCTAAATATTAATATTACCATTGTGTAGCCCTTGAAAAGAGCTTTCAGAGAATGTCTAACACTAATAGTTTAAACTCAAAGACAAGGGAATTACAGACGCGCGAAAGTGTCGATCCAGTACTGTATTGTCCAGTACTGTAGCTCGATAGGAAATGACGTGCCGTGCCGTGACGTGAGTCCATCCATAGATGTGAGAAACGGAATTCTGGTGCTCTCCATCTATGAGTCAACACGCAGGCCGATTGCTGTCCGGTACGACGTTTTGTCACATCTCAATCAGGGATTCAGATTGAGCAATAGCTTCATAACGTGGATGGTTGGCGCATGTGTCAGAAGTAAGCAAGATTAGAGTGTGTTCCTTGCAGACAACGCGTTTTCTAAAAAGCGCGCACCAAAGATAAGCTACCGTAACCCTATGCTTTGCATCAGCAAATTTTTCAAAATGCAAATGTACGGGAGTGGGACAAATGCGAGTTTTTTTTTGCGTACCCGAACATTTGCGCACTTTGCCCATTAGCGCACCTTTTTTCGCGTTTTAAGAAAGCTCTAAAAGCTAATATTAACCAATTTCTATTCCAAAAATTGTTTTTCTAGGTAATTTTAGGGCGTAGAATCGAAATTTTGGCAAATCAGAGCTTGTGGAAACAAACGGACGGTTGCGACCCTTATAGCTTTGCTTAAAAAGCGCACCTTTTAGAAAACGCGTTGTCGGAAGTTTGTCGGATCAATTGTCTGACAAAAAAGTTGTCAATAAAAATTTGTCTGACAAATTGTCTGTCAACAAGGAGCACACTCTAAGCAAGATGGGCGTTGTTGAAAGAGCGAGATTGCATTTCGCTTCGAGAAGAGAGACTCGTCCACCTCGACAATACGATTGGGTTCTCCAATTTTTCTGCTCGGCTTGTTCATCAGATATTGCACGCAAAGATCCCTCATGTCGTTTTTGAAATCGCGGTGTTGTGATTCACCTCCAATTCTTTCGCACAATAGTCGATCGAGGTCCACTGTTGAGTCCATCCATAGAATGGGATTGTAAGAAACGATTGGATTGTAAATCATAGGATTGTAAGAAACGAAACGGAGTTTTGGTGCCCTCCATTCATGAGCCAAGGCCGATGGCTGTCCGGTACGACGTTTTCTCACATCTCATCTGTCATGTCACATCTCAATCAGGGATTCTGATTGAGCAATAGCTTCATAACGTGGAGGGTTGACGCTTCATAACGTGGAGTAGTAAGCAAGATGGAGCGTTGTTGAAAGAGCGAGACTGCATTTTGCAACTTTCTAAAGTCCACCTAGAAAATTTGAGCTCATTCTCGAGCCTCGGTAGTCGGTAAGCGAAACATCACCGTCAAGAAATAGCAAAAGAATGCATTTTCTGTGGTTTTCCTTGTTCATTTTTATGGAAGGATGCAAATTTTGAAGGATAACGGAAAAGGAAAAGGACGGAAAACCCAATCAACTTGTTTCTAAAGGTATCTAATCCATAAATAGCTCTCTTATTTTTAAAAATCTTCACCTTATAAGTGTCTTTCAGCTGACAAGCGTAGTATTTGATCGTCGCGTGCACATTCATCTTGCCAGAGAATCTCAAATTTCAGTTTTAAAAGGGGAAAAACGAGTAAAAACGAGTAAAAACGAGTAAACAAGAGGAAAATAACAAATTGAACCTCTTCACGTAAAAATTTCGACACTTTTTCCTGAAACTTTTAAGAAATATGGACTTTACTAGAGGACTGTACTCAGATTTTACAAAAAAACAAAGCTTATCTCACTTCTTTGGCATCGCGAAATGGAGTGGAGCTGGCGGGCCGGTGAATGCACCCCATTTACTCTGCCATGCACCGAAATAATCATAGGACATCACATTTACGAAATCCGCATTTTCAAGGAGACCACGAAGATCGAAACCTAGAAAGATCTTTCGTTTAATTGACTTTTGTTTTAAGTTTAAGCAATGATGGGATTGTTCTGTAAGTGTTTGTAAGTGGCTCTAAGAAGACAGAAAGCGAAAATCCTCACTTGAATCACTTATTGGGGCATAGGGGCAAAATTCAAATGATGAAACTAGATTAAGTTCATATAGAGAATAGCCATCGGACACTTCATTCCGGTAACTTTTCACCACTGCTATTGATTCATATCGGACAAATAAGCAGTAAGGCATAAAAAGCCCTACCTTGTCGACAATGGGATGCTTGTCGGTGTCGCTCATTGGTAGAGGTAAGCGAGAGATCGCAGGTTCGAATCCCGTTGACCTTCGAAATAGGAGTCTCGGAGTTTGGGGACCCTTCCAAATTCCGTGGCGAGTCTCGGAGTTTTCTATTTTACTCTATAGTCTCGGAGTTAGTCTGGGACTTTTCTATTTTACTCTATAACTCGACTTCCAATTATCAGATCGACTTGTATTCCCAGCCTCAACCCACAAGAGGCCCAGCGTGTGCAACTAACAAGGAACCGCAAATACAGGTTTCGGAATTATATTTAGTATAGATTCCTCACCCGGTTTCAGCACCCAATAACCAGCAGCTCCGGCAAATGAAATGAGATAAGAATCAGCTCGTTGTTGGGACTCTTGCAGGACTTTGAGCTCTTGCTTCAGCTCTGCCATCAATTGCACATAGTTTTGACGATCGATCTGAATGGGGAAATGATTGCATTTAGGTACTGCTATTTCTTGTACAAGTTTTTCAGTATTTCCGGCGACTTTTGGTAGCTTCTTTTTCGTAGATTAGCCCTCAAGCGCCAAGTTCAACCCAAATGTGTTAAGTGTTATATGAAATATTGAAGCCGTTAATCTTGGCTTCATTTATCCTTTAAAAGTTTCTCGATTAGAGTTATGCAAATAATTTGACAAGCCTTTGAATGAGTATTTGCTTCCTCTGCTGCCATTTTTGGCGATTTTCATTATACAATCGAACTCTATAACGACCTTCTATTAGATCTATTAGAAATACTGAAAACTTCGTTGGTTTGTCTACGATCAAAAAGCACATCTCAAAGCTGACCTCTTCGCCTTCAACCGCTCCGCCAGTCACCGGGTATTCCCAATCCAAATCCACTCCATCGAATTTGAAGTTTTCGATCACTTTCCGTATGTTCACGTTCAGATTTGCTCTTCCCGATTGAGTGGAGGCGATTTTCGAGAAATATTGCGAGTTCTCCCAGCCACCCACGGCGAATTGCACTTTTAAGTGTGGGTGTCGACGAGCTACCTGAATGTGAATGTGGAAATTTCGTTTTGAAACACAACGTTTCTTTATTTACCTCAAGTATTCCATTTAGTCGTTGCTGTGCCTTGTTTGAAAGTGTCAATGCACCGTCAGCATCCATTGCAAAAAAGGCGAACACCAAATGGGTAAGTAGACGAGCCTGCAAAGAAGAAAACAATATTTTCATTATATAATATTTAGTTATCATTAAAATTTAGCATTTGAATGGTTATAAAAGGCTAAAAATATATTGATTAGGTTAAAAAAGCTCAATTTCGCCGATCTTTGCCTTCTTTTCATGTATTCCCTTGAAAAAGTGGCACTGTTTGTGTGCCCGTGGTTAGTATTTTGATTCCTTACTTGCTGATCGGTGAATGGGACATCACCCCAACTCGTGATATATCCCACAACCCGTCTAGCGCATCCCGCTTGTGAGAGCACATTTGTAAGTAGAAGTCCTAAACAAGTGAACGATCAATGATCTTGACTTCAATGATCTTGACTTCAATAATCAAATGTTTTAACTTCAACTGCTAAGCCCTGTTGCCTAACTATGTAAACCTATGATTTTATAAAAATCACCAAAGCTCAGCAAACTCAATAATCGCAGAATCATCTCGTCATAGAATGCAATCCAAAAGAGGGTTCTGGAAAGTTCCAAAGAAAAATGAGAAGACGAGAAATGGGAAATGGATTCGATGGTGGATGAATGGAATGGATCGGGGGAATAAAAGAAGGAGAAAAGGAGAAGAAGATGAAGAAAAAGATGTTGTGTCTTCTTCTGGTGTTTGTGTTTGGGACACCCGGAGGGGAAAGGAGAAGGAGGGAAAGAAGGAGGGAGGGGAAGAAGGACGAGGGAAAGAAAAGAGATGGGGTTCGTGTCAATCCCCGAAAATGACCGAAAACGAAAAAATGAAAAGAGATACAAAAAAGGAGAACCTATCCACCGTTATTGGGAGTCTTATAGGTGGAAGATCACAGGTATCACAGGTATAGGGTGACCGCGAATTATGGTGACACCTTTTTTTTTGGAAAAGTTGCTGACAAATGCCTGACTTATTACCAAAGTGTCAAGTGTTATATAGAAAAATAAAGCCCTTAATCTTGGCTATATTTATCTCGTAAAAGTTTCCCGATTGGATTTATACAACTCATGTTACAAGCTCTTGAATGAGCTCAAGCCGAGATTCTCTCCAGGTTTCTCTCGGCCATTTTTGACACTTTTTTGACTCACGATTAATTTCTATAAAATATCAAGTGTTATATAGAGAATTGTAGCTCTTAATCTTGGCTACATTTATCTACAAAAACTTTTTGATTGAACTTATACAACTCATTTTACAAGCGCTTGAATGAGCTAGAGTCGACCGCTCTCCGGCGACACAATATTCTGATCTAAAAAGAGATTTCTTCAATCAAACTTGTGGTGTTTTACTTTAAAAATACAATTCAATAAAAATAGAACGCTAGCGAAGCTTATACAGCAAGATCTTCTTTTCAAATGGATTTTCGAAAAGCTCAATTTCTCAATTTTCCCTTTTCCTCAATTTCCCCAAATGAACCCTTCAATGCTCGATTGGTGCCCTTTAGACAGTTATTTGTACGCTGGGATCCAACAAGAGTTCTCTCAAAAACATTCCAAGTTGAATGAGGGAATGTAGATGCATCTCGGGAAGTTCGTCGCTTTTTTTCCAAAATAGTTTGTCTCAAACGAGGTGACCACTTTTTCGAAGCGATCTTTATCAACAATCTTTATCAACGAGGTCAGCAACTTTATCCCATGCATCAACCAAATCCACTTCTGGTACAAAAGCGATTGCTTTTAAGCGATTGCTTTTAAACGATGAAATTCTTATCGTAATGAACCTCCAATTGATATTTCAGATTTGAGTCCTGCAGCTTCTGCGTGTCTTTTGAAGATGATGCAAGTAAATGAAAATAGCAAAGTAGAAAGTAGGGGATTAGAGTGTTGAGCTTCTGCAACAACTGATGTAAATGAAAGTAGCAACATTTTGAACTCTTTTCTGTTACCGTATTTTCTCTAATAGTGGTGAACCCTGAGCGTCGCCTAAATTCCTCAAAATCTCGAGAACCGCTTATCAGAACCTATCGATTTGGGGTCGGAAAATGTAGCTGACGATGAGATTTTGTGGGGGATTAGAGTGTTGAGCTTCTGCAAAAGCTCGGGAGCGATAAAATAGTCACCAACTCGGCTCGCCGGGGTGCACTACTATTAGAGAAAATACGGTATTCAAATTGTGGGTGACGCGTTGGTCTATCACTTTTATCGTTACAGTTTTTCAAATTTTTCTAATCATATTTCTAAATTTTGATTTTGTTAGGTAAATAATGATGAGAGTAAAGTAAAGAGTTAAGGCGGCGTTGCCTCGTTGGCAATAAATGTTACGACGAGTGTACTGAGATCTGGATGTGAAAATATGTGGGAATGGGAAGTGCAGCTGCTTCGAACCAAACATTATCTGCAATAGTCGTTGTCAACAATAGCTGCAACAAGTGAAATCACCATATTTTAAGCTTATTAGCCGATTGTGATACGCAAAAATTTTGTTGCTTTTAATTGAAGAAGATCTTTTAATAAATGGAGATTATATATCATAATATTGAAGTATAAAGCTGAAAAGGGGTAATTTCTTCCAATGGCAAGTGTTTTAAATTACAATCAAAGTGTTTGGCTAGTCGAAAAGCTTTCAAACCTCTTCGACTAGCTGAGAAAATTCAAAGCTTTTCGGCTAGCTGATAAGGCTGAAACTTTTGGCTGAAACTTTTGGCTAAAAAGCCTTTTTGGCTACGACAGATGGATTCTTTAAAGCTGTCTAGTCAATCTAAAAGTCAATCTATGGGTGTTTATTGTTAGTTTCTGGAAAAGCCCTGGTCCTGTCCTGGTCCTGTCCTGGTCCTGGAACGAGTGAACTCTCTCGACTGACTACCGTAAACTTGACTCTAATTTTCATCAAATCTATATACTTTAAGGCTTGATTTTAAGAGGAAAAAAGGAAATTGAAAAATAAAAAAATGAATAGATTGGCTAAAAATGAAGATAAAGAATCAATTATCGTTAAAAATTTAGTCTCCAAACCCTCGTGAGTCATCAGTTTTCTGTTTCCAACTGGAGTTGTTTATGTTTTTTTGTCATCAATGTAACTGGATCCTTGATCAATACATCAATGCAATTATAAAAAAAACTTTATAACAAACTTTGAAAACCTTAAAACTAATCAAAAAAAACCGATTCGCCACTGGAGAGTGGCTAAAAGTGAGGTTAAGTTTTACTGGAAAGTAAAACAATCCGATTTTCTAGATATATAAAAATACACAGAATCTGTTAATCTAAAAATCTAATGAGCCTCGTTCTGATGTTCTTGCTTCTCTTTGGACAACTTGCAATGAGAGCAATGGGGTCGCATCGCGGCTGGGATGTTTGGACCAAAAATGACACCCAGATTGTTCAAATAGAAATCCTGGATATTTGTTGGGAAGAATGATGAGAGATGCCAACTAAAGATTTCATTTTTAAGGTTATTATAGTTCTTTTGAATAGTCTAGTTCAAGGAAGGTAAAAAAGCAGGCTGCCAGCGTCACGCCCAGCAGATATCGGAGGTATTTTGAGATTTGTTGCTGATCGATTTGTCGGTGGAAATTCAGGAATGCCGGTGGAATGCTTAGAGCCTGTGGCCAAGACTTTGAGCTGGTATCTACGTATCTGATATCCTGTTTCAACTCACACAAGCCACGTGTCCCATCCCATTTTCATCCGCGTCCTACAGTAGACCGAGGTCACCGCTTTGACATAGTCGTCAACAACTGAACTTGGGCAATAGGATAGATGAATTTTAAGTAAAATCAGTTTCCAAAAACAAGCCCAGGTTACATCAGAAATCTAGATCTATAAATTTACTATAGATCTAGTTAGCTGAAAGTCTTTGCACCTGTCAAGAGTCAAATCGAACCGAAACGAACCGAAAAAAACCGAACCAAACCGAACCAAACCAAACCGAACCGATACGAATCAAATCCGAAGCGAACCAAACCGAACCGAACCGATACGAACCAAACCGAACCAAACCGAACCAAACCAAACCGAACCGATACGAACCAAATCGAAGCGAACCAAACCGAACCGAACCGATACGAACCAAACCGAACCAAACCGAACCAAACCAAACCAAACCAAACCAAACCGAACCGATACGAACCAAACCAAACCGAACCAAACCGAACCAAACCAAACCAAACCAAACCAAACCAAATCAAAGCGAACCAAACCGAACCGAACCGATACGAACCAAACCGAACCAAACCGAACCAAACCAAACCAAACCAAATCAAAGCGAACCAAACCGAACCGAACCGATACGAACCAAACCGAACCAAACCGAACCAAACCAAACCAAACCAAACCGAACCAAACCAAAGCCAACCAAACCAAACCAAACCAAACCGATCAAAACGTACCTCTTTTTGTATTCGGACAGGCCATGATCTCGACAGTCATCTTTTGATTTTCGATAACTGGAAGGTGAAAAGTGTTAGGAAATAAGATTATCTAAGTTGTATTTTTGGCAGTAAAGGATTCAAACTCTCTTTCACCCACATTTATGCATGAAGTCGTATCCGTATTCCTCTCGGAGCTCTTGCGGGGCTTTGTTGTAATGCTGAAATCAGTTCTTTTTGCTTTACAAAAACTTAAAAGTTTAGAAAGCTTTAATAATATAATAGTATAATAGTTCTTTGTAAACATAAATTCTGACATCCCAATTGCATCGTTCCAAGCGATTCACATCAGTCAAATGTGTCCGCACAAAGCCTGGCTCGATGATGTAAACCTCGACGCCGAACATTGACAATTCTTTTCTGAAGGCTTTTCTGAAGGCTTTTCTGAAGAGCTTCCGCAGATTTATGGTATTTTGGTTTTGGCTATTTGATAACCTAGAATTGCAAGGAAGGATTGCAAGGAAGGATTGCAAGAAAGGATTGCAAGAAAGGATTTCTACGTCAGATGGATTGCATTAACATCAAGTAACTTAACTATAAGACAAGTAGATTAGAGATAAAGATAAAGCGCAGAGATAAGACGCATATAGCTTTACACTAAAACTACGGTGTAAAGCTATTTGCGGTTATGGTAATTGGGCATGTTTTGGGGGAGTACTTGCTTTTGACCTAGCTGATGACCTAAATGACCTAGCTTAGGTGCAGACTTGCCCCATGAATATTCCTGGGCCTAGTCAGGGGTTAGGCCTCGACCTAGCCCTGACTTTGTTTAGACAGATCTGACCTTTTCAACCGGGACTTGCTCTGGCCCTGATCTTGCTCTGGCTTAGAAATCCTAGTACTTGAGAAATCTCTGCTTTCAGGCTTCAAGTTGAACTTTACCTGACACTTTACCTGACAATATCAGTCCAAGCCGTTGCTGCATGCTTCGTGAGTGTGTAGGGGCCGAGGCCGGGAATCGGACAGCGACCCGAGATTGAGGTTACATTCACCAAACGTCCTCTAGAAGAATTTGAAACTTCAAAAATTCACTTTCTTCTCACTTCCTCGCTTTCAACATTTTCATCATTCGATTCGCGACTCGTTTAATTCCATAGAAGTTCA